AATTCATCGGTGAAAAAATATGAATCGAAGAATGACCTAAATATTCTCTATTATCAAACATGTAAAAAACCAGAAGTCTCTGTCGAGACTGTAGCTCTACTGGTATGTACTTATCAAAAACCATTGCAGTATTTTATGTATCTTTGTGTAGTCTACTTGTGTGCCAACTTATTTTGAAATCAAACTAGAACTGTAGAAGGAGTAGCGTTTTTAAGGAATTTCACAGAAAATTCTATTTTTAGTCACCATGGCAACATCGTTCATCGAAATTAAAAACCGATGCACTATTCTATGTATCTTAGTGTAGCCTACTTGTGTGCCAAGTTATTTTGAAATCAGACCAAAACTGTAGAAGGAGTAGCGTTTTAAAGGAATTTCACAGAAAATTCTATTTTTAGTAACCATGGCAACACCGTTCATCGAAATCAAAAACTGATGCACTCTATGTATTTAGAGTAGTCTACTTGTGTGCCAAGTTATATTGAAACACCAAAACTGTGGAAGGAGTAGCGTTTTAAAGGAATTTCACAGAAAATTCTATTTTTAGTAACCATGGCAATACCGTTCATCGGAATTAAAAACCGATGCACTATTCTATGTATCTTAGTGTAGTACTTGTGTGCCAAGTTATATTGAAATCAGACCAAAACTGTGGAAGGAGTAGCGTTTTAAAGGAATTTCACAGAAAATTCTATTTTTAGTAACCATGGCAACACCGTTCATCGAAATCAAAAACCGATGCACTATTCTATGTATCTTAGTGTAGTCTACTTGTGTGCCAAGTTATATTGAAATCAGACCAAAACTGTGGAAATAAAGGAATTTCACAGAAAATTCTATTTTTAGTAACCATGGCAACACCGTTCATCGAAATTAAAAACCCGTGCACTATTCTATGTATCTTAGTGTAGTCTACTTGTGTGCCAAGTTATATTGAAATCAGACTAAAATTGTAGGAGGAGTAGCGTTTTGAAAAATTGTTTACAGACAGACGGACAGACAGACGGACAGACAGACAGACAGACAGACAGACGGACGGAAGACGCATTACTATCGCATAAGCTCTTCTGGTCTCTGACCAGTAGAGCTAAAAAAAAATAGCGTAGGAATATTGATATTTTTTATTTGCATTTCGGGGGGAAAGTGTTAATATTTTGACGTTATTTTTGATTTCTTTAACGTATGAAATACACAACTTCACTCTTATCATGAACAATAATGTTGTATCTACTTAATCATGATGGAACTATTTTGGTCGGACCAATTTGTGTGAGCTGCCGCTGAAAACAATAATATATCTTGCAGAGATAGTATGCATTGATCGAATATATTAAAAATGTAGAAGCCATTTGTATAGCCCATCCCACTTAAAACTTATGGGCAAGGTTATAATTTCTGCAGACAAATAGACAGACATAATATAAACACAAGAAACAAAATATGTATAATTAGTCAAATGTAAAAAAAATATACTATTTTAATTGGAATCACAAAATAGATTGTTATTTCAGGGACAGGGAGTGGGTAAGGAGATTGGAATCCCCCCCATCCCCCCCCCCTGGAATTTGCTTTGTTATTTAAACAAGACTATATACTGAAGCAAATAAAAAATGACTTTGGACATCCTCCCCCTAACTGAGAAAACATTGACCACACTATCATTGTTTTTATTTTGTTTATTTGTTTTCAGTTTTTTTTCTCCTGCTTGTCAGGAAATTCTGGGCTGGAAATTTTTTGACTGAGATGTGAACCCCTCTCCCTACTCCCGAAAAAAAATTCTGGATCCGCACCAGTATTGGCAGTAACTGCATTTTTACGTCACTTCACAATATGAAATTCGTCTAGTGTGGCATGCGATGATCTTTGACCCTTTTTGAACTTTAACCTAATCGTTTGGGTTTATTTTACTCCCCACTATACTTAAACTTGTACTTACCGACTGCCATACATGTTTGTTTCGTCAACTTCATGAAATATAAATCCAGTTGTGTCATGGTGCGGTACTTTTTCTTTTGATGTTGGCCATACTTTAAATCAGATAGAAAACCTTTAGCTGAATTCTACCGTACTATAACTTCTAGGGGGCGGAGCTTAGCCGTACAATAACTTCCAATTTACCGTACAATAACTTCCGACAGAATTCGATGGTTTTTAAATATCTTTTTTGCAGTTTCTGTAAGCTTATACATGTAAGCTCTAATGACTATACACAATATTTAGAGGAAACATGAGAAATCTCACGGAATCTACCCCCCCCCCCCCCATCTCACTCTATAAATGCATACGTGACAGGGATGGGGTAATTGAACAAAATTGTAGTTGACTGTAATCAGTTAATTACAGTTTTGTAAAGTAATTATAAAGCAATTAATTACATAATTTATAAGGCCTAGCTGTAATTTAATTAAAGAGAAAGTCAAAGTTATTGTAATTTGATTAATTACTTTTTAATGTAATCGACTCCATCCCTGAATTACGTGAAAAACCATTTTCGAGAGAAATACATGTAAACTCATTAGTTAACTGCTTTAAACAAAAAATAAAAAAACAATACACAGAATTTCACTAAAAACACGTATATTCAATTGAAAATAAGATAATTTAAATCTGACAATATTGAAAACACACGCAGTTCGATGATTTTCGTAAAAGTACCTGTTTCCTGGGACTTTTTCACAATACATTCCATAATTTTGACACCAGTGGCTACCGTACTCCATTCGGATTTCCTCCGGACATGCAACCATATCCGTAGTAACAGTAATGAAGCGGATCATTTTGCGGACGGATCCAGGTTTCCAGTACCTTATGTTTTTTTGAAATATTCAAACTGCTTAAATTAATCCATCAAATACAATTGCACAGTCACTCTTTTAACATCGCTTGACTTTCCAATGCAACCATCTCCTTCGTACTTTCTGATTTGTTTGAACCGTCTACGATGGACCTACAGTACCTGGCCATAAGTGAGTCATAATTTTATTTTTACACTATATATTTCATTGAAAAACCTATTTTCATAAAAACTTGTTGTGAAGTCAATTTTAGCTCAATTTTCATGATTTTTTCACTGAAACATGCAGAATTATTCAAATTTTCTTATCTTAAATGATAAACAAAATGATACTTAAACTATTGAGAATAAATCATAAAATATTGTCATGACAAAATTTTCTAACCTCAAATTACTATGATTTCTTAACAAATTGAAGTCTTAAAATTTTTGTTTTGCACTTGACCTGTGATTTCACGGTAATGCATAAAGATAAAACTATTTTGAAATAATGTGAAGAAACTACAACAAATTCTGCATTTTATGGTGTTTTAGACATTAAAAAGAAACAATAAATGACACTGCAAGAATATTTTAGAAAAATGTGTTTCCTAATGAAATACATAGTGGAAAAATAAAATTATGACTCACTTATGGCCAAGTACTGTAGGCCCGTGACGTAATGTCGCGTGCAGTTTGATGTCGAGGGAGTGGCTATGCAAATGACCCTGACACAAGACATTTACAGACATTTTCTTTCGTTTGTAAGGAATTTATTATACAGAGAGGTGTGGCTGTCTCGTCGCTGCGCGACTTGACTGCCACGCCTCTCTGTACAATAAATTCCTTACAAACGAAAGAAAGTACTGTAAATATAACTTATAACACAAAATGAATTAATCCAATGCACACCAGACTGCAGCCATTTGTGCTAATTCCATTCGACAAATCTTCGTCGATTCCGTCACCTAATCAGATGAAGTGGGAATCGGCCGAGGTGTGCCAAATGGTGTTTAATCTAAAAATATGATAATGGGTGACGCAACGTGATGTGATGTAGAAATTTACATGTTAACATGTATAGTACAAGAACAAATTTTAAATTAATTCATAACAAACGATGTTTTAACAAAACTTTTCCATCTAGCCTATTCCAAACAGTATGTGCTGTGTGATTGTGGTGTCGGGGGGGGGGGGGGGATTAATAAATTTAAAAAGGTCCTATTATGAGCAAAACATTTATCAAAATCTAATTTACATCATTAATAGAATTCAAACTGGTATATAATGAATTAAGCATGTAAAATAAATATAAGAGGTTCTGAGTTATAGGTCACAGGGCCGGTCTGAGAATTTCATACTCAGTTTGATGAATACATGTAAATCATTGGTGTCGGAAGCAAATTCAAAGTGGGGGGGCTAGGTGTAAAAAAAAAAAATTTATACCTTCTAAAAAAAACCTGACAAGCAAAAAAAAAAAAAAAAAAGAAAACGAAAACATCAATTTCCCAAACACGAAAATCCTATTTCGGGGGGGTGGGGGGGGGGGGTTGGGGGTTGAATTCAGTACCATAATTTTGTTTTCTATACACTACCTTTTTCCCATTTTTTACCTACATGTATACTGCCATGTGTCTGTGGAAAGTGGGGGGGTGGGGGGGGCTAAACCTATGAAGCGATGTTCAATATCTATACTAAGTCTATCTTTGAAAAAAAGTGGGGGGGGGGGCCCCCCCCCCCCCCCGGTTCCGACGCCTATGTAAATTATAGAATTATTTTGACTTTTTCCTTGGAAAGCCGGCCAATATGTAGGAGCGTGTTTTAGAGGCAAACACCTTAGTGCGGGTATTACTGTCTCATGACAGCATCTAGTTGTTTATCTAAACTCATCAACTTGAGTCATGGTCAGTCAATAGGTTGTTTTTGTAAATCCTGCTGATAGGTATTTGATTGAGGCAGTATTCGGTCAATTATGAAATATTAATTTCCAGAATTTAAAAGAAGGTTGAGTGACTAAGTAACTAAAGTATATACTCCATGTTTAGAATAATAGTGTTTCCCTTCATATACAAACCACTTACAAGAGAGACACATACACCCTCTCAAATTTACACACGTGGTCAAGTACGTGAATTCGGGCGACAATAAACAAATATGCAACAGAAAATCTGATTTTTAGCAAACGATAAAAGTACATCCTAGGTATAACATTTATTAAAACACTTGTTCATGTTGTACAGGTAAAATCACTTTGTGTATGACTAAAACAAATTAAATAAAATATATGAATATATGTGACCAAATTTCGCGATCATGGCGGTAAGAATTTATAATTGAAATACAATTTAACATTTTAAAAGATACATATACATGTTCGTAATTACATAGATATACAGCAGTATTTCATCATTTTCTTAAATAGTGCCACATGGCTATAGGTTTTCTTGGAGCTGATATCATTTGATTCCAATGCGACAGTTCTGTACCGGAAGTATTAGCACCTACTATCACGTGACCAAGAGATGGCGTTTTTCCATCCATGATATGTTCTGCGACCGTGATCCTTAACTGTACAGTCTAAAAAAAGATATGTTCAAATTGTTATTTTTAATTTGACAGTCTGAAATTCGCCTCAATTATCGGCATTCAAATGGCTTTCTTTTTTCAAGACGTGTCTTTGGGGGAAAACAACATTGACTTTATAAACTTAACTTCAGTAATTTGCTCAAGGGTATGCGAACTAAATAATTAATATTTGTTTTGTTTTTACCGGTAAAGCAGTCGAGGGAACGGAGAAGATCATTGCCTCATTAAATATAGGATTTCTTTCCCCTCGTTTAATTGTTGTCTTCTTTTTGCTCACTTTTCTGTTGTTCTGCATCAAGTAAACCTTCACAAAAGGGTCTGGAAAAAGATAAACAATGCATTTAGAACGATGCAATCCAATGCACACCAGGGTACAAAAATTAATTAGATCATGCAAAGAGACTCTGTGAAGATGTTTTTGGTAAGATTACTGCTGACATGATGTATCGGGCAATCGATTTTCGCGCGCGGAAATTACCACCAGATTCCTTGGAGGGATCCGCCCACTTGAGGTTTCTAGCTTTGACGATGACAATAGTTAGACGTTCTGCAGTAGGAAGATAGCTCAGTGAAAACATGATATCTCCGTACTCTGTCGGTTTCTGTCAAATCAAGATAAATGTGTGTTTAAGGATGGATTAATCTACATAATTCTACTCGTATTCGACTGTTGAATCAAGTTATAAATTAATTTAACATAGATACAGTTGAACTCAAGTATCTCGAACATTTATATCCGGCCTTCTATAAGTAGTTACAGATGTCTACATATAAGAATTCTATACATATATTAAGCTAAAACATGTAACTTTTAAGAAACTATGATGTTAATACCTCGTCAATATCTCGAAGATTTAACCACATTTTTATGGGCATGCGCAGATCTATATCTCCCAGTCGTATTTCGGACTCTCCTATGACTTTATGTCGGGCGTATTTGTCTACTGAAAACACTTGGAATTGGATTACTCTGTTCGCAACATCCTCTGGTTCTAAACCAAACAAAAATCTCTCCTTGAAAATTGGATCTACTGTGCCCTTTTGAACCTTTAAAATGAAAAAAACATCACTTTATGTGCAATCTTAGATATTTTATTCCCTAAGCGTATTCAATCTCTGTATTAGCAAATTCTCTGTTTTAATTTTTTTATTCTTCTAATTTTGACTGGACAATAACACCTTTCAAAACTACAATACATTATTATAATATTTACGCTTTTCTCAATGTATTACATGTTCATTCCAGGGATGGGGTAATTGAAAAAAGTAATTGTAATTGACTGTAATTAATTACATTTTTTGAAGTAATTGGAAGTAATTTGTAATTGAACATTTTTTCAATTACTTGTAATTGTAATTTAATTAATTACACTGAAAAAATACCATGTAATTTCAATTACTTTTTTAATTACATTCAATTACTTTATATAATACACATGCATGATATATTGTCACCACGACCTCCCCATTATAATGTTTTTTTTATTTTATTGCAAAACATATCCTCAGTCCTTCAATTAAACAGAAGCCAGATCATTTTATAATAATAATGTAGTTTCTTTCTAATAATGACATAAAATTTGAAATTTTTTGTTTTATGTTTATCTGAATTTTTCACCATCTCAGCTATGAAACGCAAATAATTTATTATATTTTAGTTAATCTCTGTTATTTGATCATTGAAGAATAAGTATGTGTGTGTCAAGAAAAGGAGTGTGTTCATTAATGAAGTTCCCTCTCTTGTTGGTATTAAGAGATAATTGCCCTCCAGATCATAGCTGTAAATTGCAATCAAAACAAATCAACCCCTCTAAAGAGCGGGAGGTCAACATTACCGCTACATTGCCAAAAATTTCAACTCATTACCGCTACATTTTTTCAGATTTTCGACCGATCATTACCGCTACATTTTTCCGGCCAAAAACAATTCATTACCGCTACATATTGAATCAGCCCAAAACAACTCATTACCTCTACATATCGATTTAGCCAGGTATGGTTCGGTATATGAGTTCTAATCAACAGAATTCACTCACTATCTAATCAGAATGAGTATATGTATTTGAATAACTCTGCAGTCAAAATTTAATTATTTAGCGTAATATGAACATTATGGCCACAATTGAGAAGTTTGTTGCAAATCGAGGGAATGCCAGATTACTTATCGACGGGTATAAATTTAGAAAATAACAATTAATATGTCAAGCAAATGGCTTTCAAGGCTTTAGTGATAGTGTATAAAAAACATTTGACAAATCTTAGAATTTTATCTATGAACAGTGCTTGATTTAAATTTTTTTGTGTTTTATGAAATAAAATTGAATTTAATAAAAAAAAAAACATCCTGATCAAAGTCCTACTTTTACCTCCCCGTGGAGAGCAGGGGAAACGGGTCTTAGGCATTTATAGGTTGTACTGTACACGCATATGTGGCTGGCTAACGAAAGAGGCAATGTAGCGGTAATGTATACTTTTTTATGTAGCGGTAATGTAAGGTTTTTTGTAGCGGTAATGACTAAGTAGCGGTAATGAAAATTTTGAAAATGTAGCGGTAATGATACGCACCCTGAGCGTATCCATTCCATGATTATGACAAAGCCAATGTATGGATATAATTATTTCAATTAAAAATGCCCCGCTAGTTTGAGAAAAGAAAAAACTTTTAATTTGATAATTAATTTAACATCTAAACAGAATTTTATGAATGAATTTTGTATGTGGAAAAGTTATGTTTTGTACAAGTATTATTTATGAAGTAAAAATACATGTTCAACATAAATAGCAATTTAGGATGTTAGGGTTACCTTTAAAAGAAATATTTAATTTGAGAGGTTATAGTTGCTACTTATTTTACTCCATTAAAATACACACTTTTAATTAAATATCATATCCCATGCAATTTGTGTACATGTAGGTTTTGTGTGGAGGAAACTGCATCAAATTGATCTTACATAGTTCTTTACTGTTTTGTAAATAAAAGTTATGATTTAAACCACAAAGATACACAATGCCTAATAGCATATTGTTTCTTGTATTGTTTGTGCAGAGCCTGCGCTTATATACAAGTGAATGATCCCTGTTCTGTATATTCATATGATTATAAAAAATTTCAAAAAATTAAAGATGTAATTTGTAATTTAATTAATTACTTTTGTAAAGTAATTGTAATTTAATTAACCACATGTCTTAGAAAGCCTGTAATTTAATTGTAATTTAATTGAAGAAAAAGTCAAAGTAATTGTAATTTAATTAATTACTTTTTAAAGTAATTGACCCCATCCCTGGTTCATTCATGCAATATGAATGAAAACAGAATTCAGAGATTCCATAAGAGTATATCCCTTTACCTGATACAAAATTCATAATGAATTATTTCGTAATATGGGAACTGACAATATTGTTTAAAAATGTTGATTGCACATTTCCTTTGGAAAAGTGAATGAAAAAGGAAAAAAAAATGCATTTTCCTTTTTATACTCGTCTATATGAATGAAATACTAGTAATTAACAAACCCTCTCTTGTGAGTTGAATTAAAATACATTTGTAAATATTACTAAATAACCGATACAATTAAAATATAAGAAAATGTCAGGCATATTGAAAGACAATTAATTGACCTTTAGGTAATGCTCTCTGTTACAAATATGGGCAATGTCATTCCCTTCTACATTAAATTACAAAGCAATTGTAGTCAATTTGCTGTGAAAAGGGCGATTTCGTATATGGCAATTGTTCTTTCATAGTTCAGGAATTCTCATTGAATTAACAATTTGTGGGCCGGATTTTGAGAATGTGGCATTAATCAATATTCATTGTCACCGTATATTGCTTCGGATTTTTACAATGTCCTTGCTTTTTGTCGATTATGGTCAAACGTGGCGTAAATTGTGTGAATCATTATTGAACAATTCAATCCCTCTCTTGAGATTTTCATCTTCTCCACTGCCAAAGCTTGTTTACTTCTCCATGTATTTTACTGTGAACCTTATGCCTACTTCTGCTTTACAGGAGATAAATTCGAATCTAGATTACAAACATCCAATATACTCTAAAAGTCAAAGATAAAAATATATGGAGATAACGAACAGTTTTCAAGCTCAAAGTCAAACAATACAAATCAGGAGCAGAGCAAACACGGACCTCTAAAACATCAGAGGTGGGATCAGGTGCCATGGAGGAGTAAGCATCTCCTGCCGACCGGTCACACCCGCCGTGTGCTCCTTGTCATGATCGGGAAATAACGAAAAAAATCATGTCGACATAATGGTCTAACAACTAGTATGAAAGAAACCAGTCGGCATTTAACATAATGATAGATAGTATTTGCTGACAAGGTCATTGTATCGACTATAGGGAGTGACACAAAGTCAGTAAACGTGCATGGATGTATTATTTTCAATTTTGCAGACTTTCTGATCCCCCTTTTCGGATTCTAAATAATATAACGTAAAATAAATCATTTGAACTGTCAGCCAAATGTGTCTCTCAGGAAAGACGTGGTTTCTCTATTTTCTAATATCTTTTTTATTCGAACATATTTCTGCTTCATATACTCGTTGCGTTATTTAACCCTAAAATACTGAATAAAATTCATGTACTGTAATAATATTACTAGGTGTATTATTGTTCGTTAAAATTATATTTTTCTAATGGCTTAAGAAAGAAAGCATCGGTAAAGAAAGGTATACGTTATAGGACATACTTTAGCTCTTTGCTGAAAACATTTACAAGAAACGATAAATATAAAACACTTGGTTGTGATTACGATAAATATATATTACTAACCTTTGTTTGAAATTTGGCGTCTGAACTTGGGAGTAAAACTCCTCGGATATACGTATCCAAGGTACCAGAATATTGGTTGGGCGTTAAGTCACGTGCCTGAATGATACTTATTATCAACTCTGAAACCTCCCTAAAATGGGAAAAAAGAATGTAAAATGTAAGAGACGACAAAAACCTGCATGATGATATTGTGGTATTAATTACAACTAAACACACGCCCAAGTAAGACCACAGGATGGTTTTTGACACGTATACACGTTTTTTTCCTAGTACATGTACCTCTAAAATATTGGAGTGAATTTTGGTGAGGAACAGTACTACATTTATTAGCAAACAGCGAGTAAAAGTATATGTCTTGAATTGGATAAAACCCACATATTATGGCTAGGATCGATGTTTGGGTGTTCCACTAGAATAACGACCAGATTGTGGTTCCGTCAATCCGGAAAAGGGCTATTTCAATGCCGGGTCAGATTACCATGTTTAACAAGCCAGTTATTGATAAGCGACAATTTTTTCTTGAACAAAAATTTTGAAGCAGGGAGGTTGACACTGAGCGAATGATCAATGGATAGCGATGATGATAGCATTCACTTATAAAAAAGTTGGTCACGAACTATCGGTGTATGCAAATATGAAATCGTGCACATAGTATTAGATTTCAAATATCAGTTGTATGACATGTGACAGGAAGTATCGATTTTTGCCAGGCGCCTTATTGCTTTACATCCGGTTTCTGTTTTTTTCAAATAGTTTCTCTGTGGAGACTGAAGCTCTACTGGTTTGTACTTATAGCAAAGGAAGAGAGAAGTTCTTAAGCAGTTGGGAATTGAAACTTTACCACAGCAATAAAAAGAATAATGATCCTTGATTAAGTCTCTTTATGTTCTTAGTGTAGTCTACTTGCATGCCACATTATATTATAATCAGACTTAAACTGTATTTGGAGTAGAATTTTGAGAGTTTTTAACAGAAATTTAAGAAAACCAAAACAGAAAACCAAAACTGTTGGAGGAGTAGCATTTTGAAAGAATTTCACAGAATTTTCTATTTTTAGTAACAACGGCAACACCGTTCATCGAAATCAAAAACCGATATACAGAATTATGTATCTTAGTGTAGTCTACTTGTGTGCCAAGTTATATTGAAATCAGACCAAAACTGTAGGAGGAGTAGCATTTTGAGAGAATTTCACAGAAATTTCTATTTTAAGTAACAATGGCAACACCGTTCATCGAAATCAAAAACCGATATACAGAATTATGTATCTTAGTGTAGTCTACTTGTGTGCCATGTTATATTGAAATCAGACCAAAACTGTAGGAGGAGCAGCATTTTGAAAGAATTTCACAGAAATTTCTATTTTTAGTAACAACGGCAACACTGTTCATCGAAATCAAAAACCAGTAAATAAAATTATGTATCTTATTGTAGTCTACTTGTGTGCCAAGTTATATCGAAATCAGACCAAAACTGTAGAAGGAGTAGCATTTTGAAAACATTTCACAGAAATTTCTATTTTTAGTAACAATGGCAACACTGTTCATCGAAATCAAAAACCGATACACAGAATTATGTATCTTAGTGTAGTGTACTTGTGGGCCAAGTTATATTGAAATCAGACCAAAACTGTAGGAGGAGTAGCATTTTGAAAGAATTTCACAGAAATTTCTATTTTTAGTAACAACGGCAACACCGTTCATCGAAATCAAAAACCGATGCACAGAATTATGTATCTTAGTGTAGTGTACTTGTGGGCCAAGTTATATTGAAATCAGACCAAAACTGTAGGAGGAGTAGCATTTTGAAAGAATTTCACAGAAATTTCTATTTTTAGTAACAACGGCAACACCGTTCATCGAAATCAAAAACCGATGCACAGAATTATGTATCTTAGTGTAGTGTACTTGTGGGCCAAGTTATATTGAAATCAGACCAAAACTGTAGGAGGAGTAGCATTTTGAAAAATTGTTTACAGAGAGACAGACAGACAGACGGACAGACGGACGGACGCATTACTATCACATAAGCTCTTCTGGTCTCTGACCAGTAGAGCTAACAAAGTTTTCCACTGGTGAGATTGACACCTTGTCTTTCATCCTAGATATCTGAACTAGAGTTAATTTTTTTTCTATAAAAGTAAGAGACATGCACAAATGGAAGCGAAGACTGTAAAATGTCACTTCAAGAAAAAAAGATCGAAAAATCCATAAGAAACCACACAAATGATGGCAAAGAAAGACATGAAATTAGCTTGAAAATTTTCTGTGCAGTTCGATCCCATTACAGCGGCACAAGTAACAATTAATTGCTCTTTAGTTCAGGCTATTTTTGTTAGATGATTATACTAACTATTGCTATTTCTAGATATCTTTTTGCGTGAAATTCTATCCAAGATCTGTTTATGACGTCTTTTTATTTTTAAATGTTTATATATATCGTTTTGAGCATTGACCAGCAACAGTCGATGACCGATAATACAAACTTTACTTGGTCATGTCTAATACCAGTTTCTTTACAAGCTTAGACAAACCTGTCATATTCTAAGGCAAATTCCAGCTGTCCTATTTTTGGCATGTCCGGTTTCATCTCCAACACTGACGAATCAGAAGCCACGCTGTCACATGACTCAGCTCGACGAATCGCTGGTGGCATTTCTGCCTCAGATGCTGAAAGTGAAATATTCAAATATTTGTTCCTTCCCAAGTAATACTCTTGGCAAAGTAAGGTACTCGCAATAGAAGTGAACTTGTCCTTTTTAATTCATGTCCTGGCATTGTAAGGAACATAGACGTACCTAAAACTTTATAAACGCTTACCAACTGATGCATTCCCAACAGAAACTGGACTGCTGCGAGCACTATCCGGAATTGGTGATTCTGATTGTCCGTATCGTGAATCACTCACAACATTATCATATTGTGCGTACTTCCCACTTGTGTCAAGGGCAAACTCTGACGATTCTGAATTGACCTTGAAAAACAAAATTATAAAAAATAACACGTCTAAAATGCAATTGATGCGTCTAAAAATATATCAAAAGTGACAAACTCTTTAGTGATAGACGATTGAAAATACATATGTCTATCCCTTTTTGAGCAATTATAATATTAACAAAAAGCCAGTTTTATTAAACGCAATATCCCTGTATGTTACCATGGCAACTGAGACACATAGCAAAAAATTTGATTGTTTGTGTTGTAAACTAAATAGTCAAAATAAAAGAAAGGCAGGGATTGGAGTCAATATGATAAACAAATCAATAATTTATAAGAAATTCAAGAAAAGAGAGGCTTTGCTTCTTTCATGCAAATTACGACATTGCAACAGGTTTGCAATTGTATATTCTGCCATCAATAAAAACAAAACACGCACCATATATCCATTGTACTGTTCATGCTGTGTCAGAACAGCTTTCTCTTCACTGGAGGCAAAACATGAGGTAAGATGGTAAATCCCGTAAACCCGGATCAACACCGCGATCACAATCGTTACTGCCACAACGATTACTATGACAACCAGAGCTATGGCAACATCACTCATAGTCTCGCCCAATTCTCGTCAAGGAGAACCTGACTGAAACAGAAAAAAATCGAATGAAATATTTACAAATCTCCCTTTTTAAACATGCTTTCTTCATTAAATTTTTGTCAAGGTTAGGTTCAGATTACTTGATTTGATACCTTCACCTTCATTTGATACATTCCCCTTGGCAGTTCTTGTGCCACAAGTCACGTGAAAAAAAGAGAATTTTACGCTGATCAAAACTGAGCTATACTAGTATTTTACTTTTCTCAGTATTATTAAAACAATTTCTTTGAATGCAGCGCACAGGAATATACTTTCTATGTTCTTAAGGATGACTGTACAAAACTATACGGTGATCTACCCACGCATGCAAGTCGCCTGAATTATTGAAACACCCATTACGATACAATATACTCTGTCTAATTGTTTTATAAGCCTTTGGTTGTTTTCACTTGTATATAGAAACAAATGAAAAGAAATGTATGCAACTTTGATTTGCATACATGTAAATAGAGAAGAAATTCCATAATTCTCTTGAACCCTTGAGGATATTTGATTACATTACTGTAACACGAGCAGTGTTATCTAGATAGAAACCCGAGGAATTAATTATTTCTCAAGACCGATACCCGAGGACCAAATTTTATAAAAAAAAAAATTATTACATACGAGATCATTCATTTAGCTTTCATAAAGATACCATTAACAGTTGTGCCATATCAGGATTTTATATGCATTGTAAATAACAACCATTTCCAATATCATTTTTACCCAAATGTAAAACTGACCGCAAATATGATTAATACATATAATGATGTATATATATGTAAATATATATTTTATTAGTGTTTCATCTAACACAAAGAGCAAAAACTAATCTAACGTACAAAAAGATATGATTAAACGATTTTTGTATGATGAAGTTGATGCTCAGTTAATGCCTATTTTTATTTCCTACGGTGCTACATTGTAAAGCTGATGCTTCCATAATTGGTATGGTATAAAAGGTTTGTCTTTTTATAGTCCAAATATTAATTTCAAATAATATACAGAATGATACAACAGAGCACGAACTTGTCACAGTATTGTGTAATTTAGATCAATAACGTGTTCGAACAAAAACTCGAGACGAGGAATTGAAATTACTTCCTGCTAACCATTAGTACTTCTTATAACGTTTAGGAAACCCACAAATAAAAAAAATGTTATCAAACTTTCATTAAAGAAAGCAAATCCTCTCACTCTTAGATGCTTTCATGAAAGCAGTTAATATCCGCTAGTACATCAGAAAACACGGTAAGTCATTTATAGTCGCGTCAAACGTTTTTCATTCTCACTAATACAGATTAACATCGCATTGATTTCCATCTTAGGACTGGTCTAGAGGGAGAACCATTCCGTCCGACAATAATATTAGACACTTCCATAATGTTTTAATGAGTAAAATGTCTTATAGATTGTTATTCTCAGACAGTCTGTTATTCTCATACAGAGTGTTATTCACTCTTTGGCTGTTATTGTCAGGGGCATTTTAAATGCTCACACGGACTTTTACTCTCTTTAACTCTTTGAAACTTAGCAATAAATGCTACATTGTATGTACGTATTGTGTACTCGCGTCTCGCTCATTAACATGGAGAGGGTGCCTTGAGCAGAAAATAAACCTTTTACGCTAATTTCTTTTTCCTTTGAAATTTGCATAATTTTTCAAATATGTAGTACCTATAGTAAAAGATTTGATAAGTTTACTTATGAAAATTTTAAAGAAAAAAAAATAACAATCCATATACACTTAAATTCAAAGACAGATGAACACTCTTTGTTTTCTTTTACAAACTGAACAAACTAAAATAAGAATACAAAAAAAAAGATAATATGGAAAAAAAAAGTAATGTATCCCACTGAGAGTTATCTGTCTTAGCGGAGGATTGATGAACCTTAAAGGGATTTGTTGCGTGACTTCATATAGAAATCCGTGGACAGTTATTGGTCAGACTATCTACAACATAACCATGACTTTTTTTGTTTATTTGTCAAAAACAAATTAACGGCAATATCGGGTAATGCTCCTATATTGATTTCTGTACATAGAAATGTGGAACTGTCAAAACAGATTTCTATTTATCCATGTTTCGCATGTAGAGACAAAATATGTTCGTTAAACAAGTGCATCTATTTCGAAGGTTAATTGTAAATGGAGAAGTGATTCATATATTTTTTTCTTTCGTTCTTGTGGTCTCTGGAAGATGTATTAACACCAAGCACACGATAACGCGGTCTACTTATACAATCGGGATCTTTGTCAAAAATTACAGTGGGCGTTGTTTTTTTTGTTTTTGTTTTTTTGTTGTTGTTGTTCGATACCATTTCAAATTGAAACTTAGGTTTTGAGGAATTATATTCACTATGCATATGGACATTTTTATAAAGGCATTAAGAAAATATTTTTCTCTACCTACATGTTGAAAAAATCATTTTCTAATGCATTTGATTACTTTAAAGGATTTAAGGAATAGGAAAATCACAATTCTTTTACTTTACATATACTCGTAAATACCGTAAATATATGCTTGTATGTTTTGTTTTGTGGAAATCAATACTTGGAGATTTAGACATTATGTTGCTAAATTATAATTATTACATATGGTTATGCACGTTATGCAACTTTTACAATAAGATGAAAAGAACGAATTTATGTTGAAAAGACTGAAAATAGACAAAGAAACATTCCCTATCTTGATAACTTTTTTGTAAACGTATTAAAACTGGCGTGTTAGATGAACTGAGATTGTATTTTTCCATTTACAGCAGGTAATAAACCACGTTACGTGACGCCATGAAATTTTTAAAAGAAGAAATGGGAAAAACTCCACGTTAATTAATCCTCACCTCTATTTCTGTATATATTGATGAAAGGAACTCTTTTTGTAACTACAAATTTACATCCTACGCGATCCTTTGTCATGTGATTAAGTAAATTTCGCCTGGGAGAAATCAGGAGTAAGCCTATCAGCGACAGTGGACTACTGACAAGACTTCCACCTACTCCACAGACAAATCTGTTGTGATATATGACACCAGTACGCCCAATAAAACTTTGACACTTCATATGCAGTCATATGATTAATGTTCCTTCTAGTTTGGTCTGTTGATTATTATGATTTTTAAAAACGGGAGATAACTCAACAAATATAATAAAAAGTAATGCACATGAAAATTTTACATGAACAGGTAAGTCATGATGTGATACATATATGCAGAATGCACTAGACCTTTATCTCAAAGGTTGCATTGACACTGAGGGAAAACACTAGTAGTTGGAGAAAAGGGAGAAATGGGATAAGAAAGCTTTGAAGGAGATCGCAAAAAAAAAAAATGAAATGTAAGAGAATGCTGAACTTTGGGGGAGGGGTCCGAAGCTGAAAAATATGGAAATCTCTGTTGACGGTATCATTTGCTGATCGATCACGACAAAGAAAATTAAATTTCAAAAGAACCAGAGCGACACAGATCGTATAAAGACAATTGATCAGAGAATGTTATTATATGGACATTCTAAGATACATCCACATACATTATATTAATTTTCTATCAGTCAAATAATTGTGATCTAGCACATGAGACGATGGTGCATTTTTTTAAATGTATAAAACGTGGAGATTTTAATTATGCAAAATATAAATATTGCAATAAAATGATACAAAGAACGCATTCATTAATTAACAATTAAAATATTGATTCAGTATAAATCATTAATTCATTATAATCATACATTAATAGAAATGGTTATTGGATGGTCGATGAAAGTGAAAGCTGACACAATATCGGAAAATGCTTCCGAAACAGAGAACGCAATTTGTATATTCAAAATGACGGTATACAGGGTAGATTTATTTTAATCAATAGAAAAATTCAAAGACAAAGTAAAGATCAATCACCAATCTCTAGCATTGCTTAGATCTGCAATTACTGATAAACTATAACCATTGAGACTTGAAAGTAAATATACACATTATACATTATGTTTGTCAGAGGAGGGATGACAAGGATTAACTAGAATCCGCAGCGATGCCTTTATGTACGTGCTGTGGGATTTATTTCATCAATATAAACCGTGTCACAAATATACATGTATTTTTATACAAAGAGATGTTTTATTTTTAAAATCGTCGTCAATACTTTTACCACGTGGGTTTCTAATGTACTAAGGATTCTGAACCAATATTAGCGATTTTTAAATACAAGGAATATTTAACAACAGGGAAAGAAACATGGGATAATATTATATGACTATACATATTAATTGATACCTTGGTAAATGAGCTAAATTAACAGTCCTGTTCAAAATCATCCTTTCGCGAGTTCTATAGTCGAATATTGACCGAAGTTCTTTTTATACCAATTGTTTACAAAACTGAACTGTCTTTGTCCGTAAACATGACAAAGAGTACACGGTGGATGTAAAGGATCGACAAGGAATGCTCACTCCTCCTTGGCACCTGATTCCCTCTGATGTTTTAGAGGCTCGTGTTTGCTTTGCTCCTTAGACCTGATTTGTATACTAGTATACATTGATGTATAGGAATAAAATAGATACATGGAAACAATATTGAAATAACTTAAGTGCACGTGATTAAAAATATTATATGTATTATAGTGGCACTAATTTTAAAACATTTTAAAGCTAGATAAATGAATAAAAATTGTTAAGAAATTAAGCAACAGACTGTGGAAGAGAAATTTAGATCGCAAAAATATTCATATATTGAAAAAACATTTCGACCCCATCATCTTATTTGGAATCTATGATATACCTCCTCTCTCGGGATGCCCCCCCCCCCTGGAAAAAAATCCTAGATCCGCGCTGGCAATTTATATAGAAATTAATATTTCACTTCTGGTCCTTTAGAATTTTTTTTAAATTTTTGATGACAAAAAGTCACACACACCACAGATTTGCTTAACATTAACCCTTATCATTCTGATGTAATGAATGTATTAAGATGGCATGGAAATTGTTCAGAATGTCTATTTCTGTAATCGATTATAAACCAAGACACAACATGAGATGAATTAGTATATCCGCCTTTTGGTACATAAAAATTGGATTGAAGAGGTCGTTGACGCCTAAAGATCTGCATCGATAGATCGATAACCGGGATCTCGAAGTATTACTTGTTTACACTTGCATCGATATGCATTATTTAAGAAAATAAGAAAGAATTAACCAAATATAAACACTAAAAAATATATATAACGAAATTAAATCGAACAACTTTATACTTATCAAATTAACATGCTAGCATTTCTTTTTTTAAGTGCTATAATAATTATAAGAAATGATAAAGGATGTAAAACAAATTATTGAAGTATCCAGTACGTATTGAATGATGAAGGAGAGAGCATTTATGTACATACAAGGTAGAGGGTTTCACGTATATATAGGGTCTTTTAATAATTTATTTCCACATAACCGTGTTACTACTTTGAGGGGTAAAGATCGATGTGCCTTTTTTACATTATTGCGGAACGAATGAAAAATTAATCATTTAGTAATGAAAAAAAAAATTACTAAAAGGTTCTATTTACCCATCGTGAGTATCTAGTCGCAATTACAACAATTTGCCATTATTAACGATCCAAATTAAAGTCACATACTCTGAAGCGGTGGACTTTATAAACACAAAAAAAAATTCGAAACGGTAAAATGAAACTGTAAATGCATGAGAGAGAGAGAGAGAGAGCATTCGATATCTGCATCGTTTCGAAATTATTGCGTAATTTTAATTATCAGTAGCTTTAGGCATCTACAACCGTACATGTACGACAGTCCAACGCTTTTACTCATTCACAGTTTTCGACTTATCCGATTTGTCGCTTCTCAGCTGAAAACACCAACAGACAACTTGACAACTTACCTACCTGCACTTGAAATATAATCCCTCTGCATTAATCTCCCCTCAATTTCTATCAGATATAGGTAAGCCTCTCCTAAGCTTTTAACAGTATTTTTTTTCTTTCTACCGAGGTAACTTCATTAAGCAGAAATCGCAGAGCCTCATCGATCGATGCGCCAATCCGGGCTTCCTGTAAATCAATGTACCATTGTCAACGAAAAGGCGGATCGGTCCATTCTTGGAGTGAAGAATCTGACACCAGGCTCCGGGCCATAAAACTTAGACGCACTATGTTTTGATTTGAGTCTCACTTTTATTTTACAAAAAAGGAATTCATAGTGGAAAAGTGATGTCAAATGGGATTAAAGTGAAGACTTGAATGGTCTCAGAACCAGAAGGTCATTTTCCAATTTTCTTTTGAAAAGAATAAAAATTGGTGCATAAGAACGAAGTTCATAGGAAGAAATTGTCCCCCGCTTTCGCGAAAGCAAGGGGACATTAAATCTCGTCCGTCTGTCAGTCTGAGAGTCTGTCCGTCCGTCACAAAACTTTAACCTTGCCCATAGCTTTTGATTAAGTGGAGCTATGACTTTCATATTTCTCATGTATATTCCTTGGGACAAGACTTTTCTTTGGGTACTACCAAATTTGACTTTTTGACCTTGTAGATTTCCGTACTTATGAAGAATCACATATATTATCCTTGTAAGAAGACCTTTCATTGGATACCAACAACTTTGACCTGACCCTTTGACCTTGGCCTTAGAGATTGACCTACTTTTAAAATTTTTTACCTTGGCCACAACTTTTGATCGGTAGATACTAGGACTTTCTTATTTCATATGTATTCTTTGTGGCAAGAACTTTCATTGGACACCAACAACTTTGACCTTTTGACCCTGGAGATTTCCGTACTTATAAAAAAACTTCACCTGGCCGTAACTTTTGAATGGTAAGAGCTAGGGCTTTCTTACTTCATATATGTAATTTTTGTAAGGAGACCTTTCATTGGATACCAAAAATTTGACCCTTTGACCTTAGTCAAAATGTCAAATATCAAAAATAGTGGGTTCTTTTCATGTTAAGATATTACTTCTTGTGCAAGGTTGCCATACGGGATCATCGGTGTTTCACAAACACATCTCGTTCCTTATATTGAGAAGAGATAGGGCTTTCATATTTGACATGTGCATTACCTGTGACAGACATTTCCGAGCATGCTATGATTTCTGACCCCTTGACCTTGACCTTCACGATTGGCCTTATCTTTAAAAAAAAATCAACTTCATTGATTAATTTCTAAATGACATTGATAGGGCGTTCATATTTGACACAATATGTCTCACCCACAAAGACACCGAATGCGGGGGACCACAATTCTTGAATTTGCTTGTTTGACATTTGACATTCATTCGATTGACTTAAAAATGGTGCATAAGAAGTAACATCTTAACATGAAAAGAACCCACTTTGAATTTTTGATATTTGACATTTTGACTACCATTTTAGCTTAAAGCGGAGGATATTAATTAGTCTTCCTCAGTCCGTCCATCTATCTTGTTACATGTACATGTATTCCATTCTTCTTCAACACTTCGTATCTAGATCTGCGAAAGTATAAAGTACGCAAGTTTTTCCAGTGACTTTCCACATCTCAAGCAGAAAATCTTGATTGATTTTGGGGTGCAAACTTTGGGGTAAAATATTCATAAATCATTTAAAAATAATAACATACGGCCTTTTCCATTGAAATTTAAATATTATGACTTCCTATGACTAAAAAAGGACCTTTAATGATTTTGAGGTTAGAAAGGTCTAATGTCAAGGTCACAAATTATTCACTACATAAAAATGTTTCCAGGTGATGATACATTAGTAAAATGACGACTTTCATAAGATATTGAAGTTAAAGGTCAAGGCCATTCATATTCTAAAACAATACACTTAGTCTCAAAAAAAGTACTTAAGCTTCTACAATGAACTCTCAATACTTTCTAGGTCACTGTTAATGCTGTATATAGGATTATTTTCGCCCCGCTTTATTTTTGCCCTTGCACCCTTTGCCCCGCTTTAAATTTGCCCAGTCACAGATTTGTTTATTTAAATTGTACTGTATTCTTTGATTTCGCCCCTTTTTAAATTCACCCAACTGAGGCTAGGGCAAAAGGAGCAAAAATAAAACGCCGCAAAAATTCCACTGTATATAGTATTCAAATAATGATAAAAACTGGTTTTCACATTCACTTCAATGCTGTCTGTAGCAAAAACATGAGCCACGTTGATTTTGATGTTCAAAAACTTAAAGTCACATATCCCTTGTTTTTTATTACGAACTTTTTGGTCAAGGTTTGCCCTTAAGCACGGTGATATCAATTCTTTAAAAAGCTTGGTAGATTTTTATTTGTTTTGTTCTTTCTTTCTTTTTTTCGGGGGGGGGGGGGGTGAGGAAAGGTGAAACGACAGACCGTCATGTTTGAAAATTGAACTTTCAAGCCGAGGGAAATATTCTCGTAGGTCGTGGATGTACATGATCAACTCTGTTTTATTTATATCCCCCGCTTGAAAAGGAAGGATTACATAGTACATGTTATGTTCATAGTACATGGATGTTCGTCTGTCTAGCTGTCTGTCTCAGTCTGTAGTTCTCTCTGTCTCTAACACTTTCGTTTCTGCGCGATATCTCAATAAGCCTTTGAGCTTTTGCAATGAATTTTTACACAATTACTCCCTATGGCCTAAAGAAGCTCCCTATAGATTTTGAGGCTATTTTTTTTAAATAAAAAAATCTGTTTTAATACTTATGTTTCCGCATGACATCTCGAGAAGATTTTGAGCTTTTGCAATGGCATTTTACCACAACTCTCTATGGCCTTAGGAAGACCCTATTACTTAGTATTTTGAGATCAAAAGAGCTGAGGGGGAGCGCCAGATTTGAATGAATAATTGTGTATGCGTCTAGTCCTTATTTAACATCAATCATCGGTTTCTCCATTCAAATTCATTTATTTACACTAATTCTTCTTTACAAGTTATTTTTCTTGGAGTTCACATTCATTAATTTAGCTTATACGTATCATCTCGCTGTTAAAATTTTTAAATATCTATCACGACATTCACAAAGCACAGCAATATAAATATGATTCATGAATTTATTCATATTTTGATTTTGTCCAGAGAAGTAAAAAAAAAAACGCCTTTCAGTCAATTATTTTCCCCCCATTATCTTCACTCACTTTCAAGCACAAATTGTCCAATCAAATTGATAGGAAAATCGTGTTTCAGAGCCATTGCTCCCTCTAATTTACGGGACAAAGCAATCAAGTTCCTTTGACCTGCAATTCTATATGATAAAGGGATTGGTTTATCTTACCAATATCAAAGCATATTTTAATTACAAACAAAGCCATGGCTTCATTCATTTTGATGAATTATCCTCATTTTCCCTTCCAGGTCTCTGCCTATATATGCTTAAGTTATTAATGTAGTAAACTGTTGACAAACTGATATTGTTCCACAATTTTAAAGAGAAATTAACTGAACTGAAACAAAAAATAGTTTTAAAAAGACCATAAGATGATTGTTATTTGAAAATTACCTACACTTCCTTTTTTTAATAATTAAATAAAAAAAAATATAAACAATTTTCCTAAAAATCTTTAGTACTGGAGATAGAACTTCAAAAAAAATCTCTTAAATTCTTGCCCATTTCTCCTGATGTGCAGGATATGCATTCATCATCCTTAGTTGTATAGATTTTTCTCACCATCTTCTGTGAACATATCCGAGACATCAACTTGTGGATCACATAGATGCTATGAATAGCTAATCAAATGTACATTAATCCCTTGTCAATTTTATTGATAAATTTGTCAGTAATCATCTGGCAAAATGAGAATGAAGCTAATACTACATCTCTCTGACACAAAACGGACATCAGCTAATTCATTATTCATGCATCAGTATTTCTTAGGAATCAGGCTTCACGGTCAATAGAGCAATTAACAACCATTACTAGAACAATTCTGCCGTGTGAAATAGGAACAATTCAAAAAGGAGAATATATACTCTTCTATGCTTTTATTCCTTAATAAGTAGATAATGGGCATGAAATGATGACTCGCAAAGGTATATGAAAAAGTAATTTACATGTCATATCCCTTTTTTATATAAACTCAAATATTAACTTATGAATTATATTTTTTAAAGTTTGAATAACTATTGAACAAAATGTCTTCTGTAGAGATTAATTAGGATGAGCCTATCAGGTGCTGCAGCAAATACTGTCTCAGAAGGATTGACTGGTTCTCAGGTTCTGTAAATAAAAAAGGATACCAATTTTACAAGATGCACCCACAAACATACACACAAAGGTGTGATATGTTTTACCAATCTTCAATAAAGATGTCATCAAATGACAATAAAATGTACGACTTTTAATCAAAACAAGTTGGATACTGTAAACCAACTTTTATTCGCGTGCGAGAAAATTTCGCGAAGTTCGCGAGAGCCTCGTCATCGCGAATATTTCTCGCCGCGAACCGGTTCTTAAAGTCTATGTGTCTATTCAAAAGAGAACCTAAATAGGTTTGCTCGCGAAAATTGATCGTCGCGAAATATATTACCCCCGGTAAATCGCGAAATAAAGTCGTCGCGAATAAAAGTTGGTTTACAGTAATCAAGAGAGAATTGATTCCATATTTTTTCATTATGATAATGTTTTCTTTTTTAGTACAGTGTACAACTTTATAAAAAAATTATTTCCTATGTTAACACAACTTCAAAGGGATCATCTAGCAAAAATGAAGTATCTGTTATATGCTTTGCTCTAATTAACTCTCTATCACATTCCATATGATACAAGAATGCATGTTCCTTTGATATTTCAGTCTACATAGAAATTGTTGAAAAAGTAATAATGACCTGTTATCTTTTTGTACTTAGAAGAGAATTCCTTCCAAGTCTTCTGTTTGCTATCAGTTTTCAGTTCAAACAGCAGATAAACCATTTCATTCAGCTTCTCTATTGTCCTGCTCCAACTGCCATTTAAAACTAACTCTTTGTCTTTAAGATTTATCTTCCCTTGATTAACGGCATCCACTTCACTGAGATGCGGAATGCAATTATAGAGATGAGAATACAAACCAAACAGGCCCTCTAATATAATCTGTCCTTCTTTTGGACATTCTAATAACACTTCTGTGAAACTTCTAGATGACATCATAACAGAATGCAGCCAATCAACAAAGAGGTCCCATGAGTTACAACCAATCACATTCTGATTTTGTTTCAGAAGCCATGAACTAATAATGATGGCTCCAATACACAGAGGAACAGTTTTCTCCGTTGATTGAGTGCTAAGCAAATAAGAAGGGTTCCACCGAATCAATGATTTTAATGTCAGTTCAATCACTTTCTTCATTTCTTCAGAATTCCTCTGTGTAGTAAAACTGTCTGAATCACCTGAGTTCTTTGTGATTAATTTTTTATCAGTTTTAAACACAGAAATATTTTCTAGCCTCAAAGATTTTAAAGCAGAGGACACACATTGAAGAGTCTCAAGGTTGTCACCATAGTTACATAGGTTGCCTAACAACAATAAAGCCTCCCTAATTGTCAAGTTATAATCAGGGTTTCTGTGAAGCACACCTTGGTTTTCCTCCTTGGGGAAATCAGTGTAATCTAGGACAGATAGCAAGGTCTCCAATAGCTGACAGTAAGATTCCAATTTCACCTCGGTGCTGTAAAAATAAAAGGTAATCATAATAAAAATGTACTAAATATTGATCAAATGGGGAAAATAAGCAATGTACTTTAAGTTGCATGGATAATATTTCTCCTCCTCCTTAAAAAACCCTCAAAACAACAGAAGTCTCTGATAACACTGCAGCTCTGCTGGTTTGTAGTTAAAATTAAAAATAAAATAGAAAAACATAGCGCATCAAAATAAAATAAAAACAATTAAGACTTTTATATATCATAGTATGTAAATCTTTTTATGTACCAAACTTAATTGAAATCAAACAAACATTCTCAGAAGAGTTCAATTTTCAAATACTGTTTGCCTACAGGCAGCTAGACAGACAGACAGACAGACTTTGAACTAATACTTCACCATCACAAAATCTCTTATAATCTAAAGATACTGATTTTTGTCACCTGTTTTCCTGAAAGTGAGGGGCATTAAATCTCATTCCTCTGTCAGTCTGTAGGTCTGTCAGTCTGTCATAAAAGCTTTAATCTTGGTCATATCTTTTGAATGAGGAGAGATAGGGCTTTAATATAAAACGTTTATTGTCTGTGACAAGACCTTTCTAAATACACTATGATTTTAGACCTTGTAACCTTGACATTGAAGTTTGACCTACTTTAAACAAATTTAAACATTACTTTGAATTGGCCATAACTTTTCAATGAGAAGATACAGGGCTTTCATATTATATTTTTGTATTACCTGTGTCAAGACCTTTCTAAATACACTAGGCTTTTTGACCTCATGGCATTGACCTTGAAGTTTGACCTACTTTTGCTATGTTAATTTTTCCTTATAATTTTTGATTGAGAAGAGGTATGGCTTTCATATTTGACATACATGTGCATTACATGTGATAAGATATTTCACAGTATGCTATGATTATAGACCCCTTGACCTTCATGACTGACCTAATTTTCAAAAAATTCAACTTAGGTGATAACTTCTGAATGACATATGATAGGATGTTCATATCTAACACAATATGCCATAAATAATGACATCTCACCCACAAAAACACCCAAAGTGGGGCATCACAATTCTTTTAATTTGCTTGCTGATATATCTATTCCCTTTGTCTTATCACTGTGTGTCCTACCTGACTTTACCCAGGAGTTGCTTGATGACAATGATCATCTGACTAGTAAACAGAACTGGGAGGGGCTTCCTTTCTGTCAGACTCTGACTAGGCTTATTCTCCATATTCTCATCTGTCACTGTGTGGTTATCCATCACTCTGTTGTCCACTCCCTCACTGCTATGTGAGACTGTTCCCTCCACTACCAGGGTTTGGTGGTCTGTCTCTCTGTTGTTGTCTGTCATTGTTTTGTCATCTGAGGCCGTTTTCTCTTTTGTCTCTGTTCTGTGTGATTCACCCAGCATTGTTTTCCAGGTATTGTGTAGAATCTCCAGCAGTATCTTCAAATGCTCTGCAGGCAATGATCTAACCAACAAATATGAACATGAGTAATCATGGCACAAAATTTTATGTTATTAATCTTACACTGATTATGCAATAATGATATCAAGGTTTGCATAAAAGTATTTTTCTGTTAAAAGTGGCTGTATGGCACCTTTTTAAAAAGAAATGAAGTCTTAAATTAAGAATACAAAACTGCACCAAACACTTATCATTTTGGAATGATAAATTTAAAAAAATTAAGAAATGATCCCTTGTTCAATGTTTTTCTTAGCTGTTTTAGACTGGTGTCCTTACTTTGCCTGTACCATAGCAGAGTACCAGGTTAAAATCCCATGATTCCGGGGGTTACAAGGAACAGACAGGATGCTTCCACATAAATTTCAGCTTTTTTGGCCCAGTGGTTCTTGAGAAGAAGACTAGCTGCTCTCAAAATCTGCAGTACTTGAAGCTATCAAAATTAAGGCATTCTAATAAATTTACCTTAAAATGTTCAAATGCAGGTACGAGAAATGAAGAGATATTTCTAATCTGCAATGCAATAATTCTGAGTTGTTCAAAAAACTCAGTAAAACTAAGAAGTAAATTTTGCCTGACCTGTGTAGAGTTGTCACTGATACTGGACTCATAGATTTTTAAATGACTATATATTTTTACATCTTCAAGATATGTCGCTTCTTAAAGATGTGGAAACACTGTCCAGGTCTCTCTCAGCTTTTCTCCCTCTGACAGTAAACCAAGCATCCAACCTCTCTCTAGCTTGTACTGCAAAACATCAAAGTTATAATTAATTTAAAAAATCAAACATTTTATTTCGGGGGAGGGGGATCCCTTGTTCATATTTGATTGTTTATTTCAATGCAAATACACAAGAACAAGGTAGGTCACCTTTCTTTATCAAGCTGCTCTCAAAATCTCAGTGCTATCAAAATTAAATAATAAATTTACCTTAAAATGTTCACATGCAAAAAATTTAAGAGATATTTCTAATCTGCAATGCAATAATGGTGTAAATTTTCCACCTGTGTAGAGTTGTCACTGATACTGGACTCATAGTAGGACAACAACATCTTCAAGATATGTCGCTTCTCAAAGATGTGGAAATCTGCAGTCTCTCTAAGTCCCTCTGACAGTAAACCAAGCATCCAGCCTCTCTCTAGCTTGTACTGCAAAACATCAAAGTTATAATTAATTTAAAAAAACAAACATTTTTTTTTGGGGGGGGGGGGGGGAAGGGGGATACATATTTGATTGTTTACTTCAATGCAAATACACAAGAACTAGCATCAATTAATCTCAGTGAATTCTGTAGAGACTAAAAAATTTGGTCTGCATGGTGTCCATGGAGACACCAAACCAAAATTTTTAGTCTCCATGGATCTCACTGAGATCAAAGTATAAATAACTAGATTCACATTTAAAAAATACAAGGCTCATTTCTTAATAAAAAAGATTTTGTTCTCTTACCAAAAAACTGAATTGATATCAGTTTGTGACATAGACATACAATGTATTGAAAAACACACAAGATGTTAACAAACACACATATTTCAGACTGATGTATTTCCTTAGGTCTGAAGAGCAAAATGTGATGTAAGCAAAGGAATTTTATCAATTCATCTTAATTTCCTAAGCACAAGCATTACAACATCTGCTCTATATGTAGTATGATACCTCTGGTGCTGAACTGTTGAAGAGTTTGTAGAACTCTGGAACATTTCCTGTATCCATAGCAGGCTTCAACAACAGAAAGGCATTCAACATCTTGTACATGTGGTCCTCTGGAAAAATAAAACATCAAAACCTTAAGATTAACTGCCTTTACTATTCACTTAAAGGAATTTCTAATACTGTGAACCAACTTTCGTTTACATGTATGTGAAAAATATCTATGCACTTCATGGCTTTCCTTTGGTTATATATACTTCTGATAAAGAACATTTCTTGTTTCTGTATCTATGTATAATGTTTCCTCAATTGCCAAAATTAATAGCTGCAAAAGGAAAAGCTACAAAAGTTGTCATGGGTAATTTAACTTTGTATACAGTACTGTAAACCAACTTTTATTCGCGACGACTTTATTTCGCGATTTACTGGGAGTAAAGTTGTTTGCGACGATTAATTTTCGCGATCAAGCCTTTTTTGGAACTATTTATAATGGAGAAAGTGACTTTAAGGACCCATTCACGGCGAGAAATATTCGCGATGACAAGGCTCTCGCGAACATCGCGAAAATTTCTCGCACGCGAATAAAAGTTGGTTTACAGTATTTAAAAAATATACATGTTATGAAAATACTGGCACAAAAATTAGAAATTACAGATCCTCTTTGCAGTGAACAGATTATTTTAATCATTCTCATATCTTGAATCAAACAGTAAAAATTTCAAAACATTCAATGAATAATAATTTAATTAAATAAGAAAACAGTGATGAATTTAAACCATCAGGCATCAAATAAGGGAGGCTACTCCTATTTCTATTTTTTTTTTACCTGGCTTAAGAAGTTCCGTGGCAACTCTAGCCAGAAACAATGTGATGATACATGGCAGCTTTGTGTTTGGTGTCTCTATACTGTTCTTCACTAGCTCCACAAAATAAAGAACCTGCTGGGCCTCAGGGAAGCGTGCACCCTGCAAATGGGACAGGAAGTTGTTGAGAATGTGGTAAGCTGCACCCCGCATCACACTGTCATGGCAACTCAGGCAGGCAAAGGTGAAAGACAAGCATTGGCTTTCTACAAACTTACAGCAATCTAAAACTGACTCTGAAACAGATTTACAGAGATAAGAAACCAGATCCACTACTTCAAAACATTTTATGGTAAAAAAAACCCCTAAAATTCAAATTGAAAGCAATTTATTGGTATATGGATGTAATTATCTGCCTGTTTCTTATGTTATTTTTACTTACCAGATCTGACAAGTTCACTGAAGACAGGGAGAAGGAAGCAGGGATCGTAAGCTTCAGGGACAGTCTTGATCAGCTCAGCGTCCTGTATTGTGCCAGGCTGTAAACAATGACACTGTTCTATATTACCTTACCTTTACAGTAAATGTCTCTACTGATGAAAGCTTGATTTTTTTTTGTTCTGATGAACTTAAGATTCAGGATAAATGGTGATGATGGATTCATATTACATGTATTATCAATAGAAAGGTTTACAAACTGAAACTTGACCAACTTGTGTGTACATGTTAGATAGCATTTGCTACTTGATTCTGAAGAAAATGTATCCGAGAATTTACACATTTCTTGAAATGAAATGAAGCTAGATGATGTAACTGCTTTAATTTTTTTTTCTCGCAAAAAGTATTCAAATAAATAAGCTCTAAATAAAAAATACAATGAATGTGCTCTCAATGCCAAATAGGATAAGTATGTTAATTTGTACGTGTTTTCCAGATCAGTTTTTTTTACAGATGTCTACCTGCATCCTCCTCCTGAGTGGCAGTTTTAGTATGGAGGTCTGTAGGATCCTCTGGTCCAGACACCCCATGACCTCCTCTGCTGTCTTCTGCCCAGTCAGGGAGGCCCCCAGAGACTTCTTAACAGAGCGAACCTCCACCGCCTTCATCCCCCACAAATACGGTCTGAAAAACAAGCAACGGTAAATAGATATTGTAACTTCTACTGTACATTACTTAATTTTGAGGGGTCAAATTATCCTGGTTTTAGAAAAACATTCTGGTCAACAGGGATTTTCATTGTTGAAGAAGTGTTGAATTACTGATGATACTGTAGTTTTGAAATTTTGACCTTTCATAAATGACACAGAATTGTGTTTGCTTCATATTCCCCTACCCCCTCCCCTTTCCATTAAAATGAAAATTAAACCACAAAAATTAGTAATTTTACAGTATAATTTAAAAATCTGCAGGAGTCATACTATTCCTAGAATACAATGTATACACTTTAAGGAAGGGATGTGTATTTTACAAGTATTTTTTTTTTAAAATTGTATTTGCAAAATAGCATACCTGTAGCTCTTTAAGTCTGCCTTTTTTTGCTCATACAAACACAGCAGTCTTAGAATCTTCTGATCTACAAAAGTTACCAAAAAAATTGTAAGAAAAATTAAAAAAAGAATGTTACGAGTAGATATCAGCATCACATCAATAAATTATCTGTGTGATAGTTACATCTGACTTTTAAAATAAAATTCACAAAATCACATGGCTGAAGTACCTAGGTATTTAACAGGATGGGATAATTACATGTACCGTACATGTATATTGGGTGCTGTGAGGTATTCTCACTAATACATACCAGTAAAGGACAGGGAGGCTGAGTAGGCCCCCAGCAGGACCCCAATGTGTTGGGTGTGACAACAGGCCTGGTCCTTCTCCACCAGTAAAGTCATTAGATCCACCAGTGGTTCTGAGGATGTGTACAACAATGAAGCTTTATTTTACATGTACAAACAATAAAATATAGAATACATGTACTAACCTTTTTCTTACAAAGATTCATGGATGTATAATTCATGAATAAAACTAAAAGAGGATTAAAATATTATTCAATTTCTTATCATGCTTATAGAGAACTTTATTTTGTCTTGATAGCTTCTCAACCTACCTTTGACCTCTGGGTGAGCCTCGTTGAACATAATTGGTAGATACTGAGAGTGGCTGATAAGCATTTCATGTAGATGTTTTACAGGTAGGTCTGATGATACAGGTGTGTCTATCTCAGAAGGATCTCTGTAAATAACATCTGTCAGTGTGGTCAGGAGCTGTAATGTCAGCTTGTCTGTATATCTGTATCTGTAAAAACAAAGAAATCAAATATTTTACAGTGAAATATAGAAAACCATCACATACCATATTGACCAAAACTTTAACAAATTCTTTAAACAAACAAATTATGTAAAATATCAGAGATTCCTATTAAACTGATAGAAACTAAAGAAACTATTTTAAAAATGTCAAACCAACCTCAACAAAGTTTTGACGAAATCCGGCCATTCTTTTATCAAGTTAGTATTGTAGAGGTCTCTTATTTCATCCTTTAAAAAATACCGATATAAATCAATTGGAGGAATACACAGTGATAAAGTAACAAGAGGCCCATGGGCCTTATAGGTCACCTGAGCATTATGCAACAACTTTCCAGTGATTGAATTTGATTCATGTTTTAAGCCAGATGCTATGGCATTCACAATTTTGAAAGAGGCACCATTGATCATCATAACTATACACTTAGCAGCTGCTTAGTTTGGTTACTTAATACCCATAGGCAGGGTAGGGGAACAAAAAATGCATTTCAACACATGAACCCTGACCCTTAGGCCTAGATCCACACATTGCACAATTCTTAAAAAGGCATCCTTGCTTTTCAAAAATATTTTATTAATACCAAAGAGCAGATTTCAAGCAATTCATTCATTTTCAGTATATAAGTACAGCCCCCCCTCCCTCTATGGTACCCCTGACCCTAGGGCCTTGAAATTCACAATTCTGGAAGATTAGGGCCCTTGCTCATCATAACTAGATAGGTAGCTCATCTTCCTAAAACCCAGGAGCAGAGAAGAAAATTTTCAAAGATATAATGTATTTTCACTATACAATCAATAGAGCCATGCCTTAACACCAAAACCCCTGACCCTGGGGCCATAAAATTGACATATTTGGAACAGGCATTCTTGCTCATTATAACTATGTACTTAGTTTATTTAATACCCAGGAGCAGAGGAGAAGATTTTCAAATAATTCATGTATTTTCACTATATAATCAATAGAGCCCGGCCCTAACACCAGAACCCCTGACCCTGGGGCCATAAAATTCACAATTTTGGTAGAGGCACTCTTGCTCATCATCACTATGCACTTAGTTAGTTTATTTAATACCTAGGAGCAGAGAAAAAGATTTTCAAAGAATTCATGTATTTTCACTATATAATCAATAGAGCCCTGCCCTAACACCAGAACCCCTGACCCTGGGGCCATAAAATTCAAAATTTTGGTAGAGGCATTCTTGTTCACCACAACTAAGTACTTAGTTAGTTTATTTAATACCTAGGAGCAAAGAAGAAATTCTTCAAAGAATTCATGTATTATCACCATATAATCAATAGAGCCCCACCCTAACACCATAACCCCTGACCCTGGGGCCATAAAATTCACAACTTTAGTAGAGGCACCCTTGCTTATCATAACTATACACTTAGTTAGTTTATTTAATACCTAGGAGCAGAGAAGAAGATTTTCAAAGAATTCATGCATTTTCACTATATAATCAAAAGAGCCCCGCCCTAACGTCAGAATCCCTGACCCTGGGGCCATAAAATTCACAATTTTGGTAGAGGCACTCTTGCTCATCATAACTATGTACTTAGTTGGTTTATTTCATACCCAGGAGCAAAGAAGAAGATTTTCAAAGAAATAATGCATTTTCACTATATACTTATTGAGCCCCGCCCTAACACCAGAACCCCTGACCCAAGGGCCATAAATTTCACAATTTTGGTAGAGGCATCCTTGCTGATTACAATCATGCAAACAGTTTGACTGCTTGAAGTCCAGGAGTAGAGAAGATTTTTAAAGATTGCATTAATTTTAGTGGTTTTGGCCCCACCCCTCAAGCCCCAGGGGAGGGGGAACCATAAAATTCACAATTTTTGTTCCTCTTCACCCATAGATGCTTTATGCCAAGTTTGGTTGAAATTGGTTCAGTGGTTGCAGAGAAGAAGCTGAAAATGTTCAAATGTTAATGCACGACGCACGTCGCACGACGAACGACAACGGACGAAAACAGATAGCAATAGGTCAGCTGAGTTTACTCAGGTGATCTAAAAATAGGAAACTGAAGTAAATAAAAGCTTAGAAAAAGCACTTTGATATTACAAGTCCATACCTACCTGGCTGAAGGAAGAAAGAGCAATCAGCAATGATTCTATCCCGTTTTCTTCTCTGGTTTGCTTGTTTTTCAGCCTGAGAAGAAGACATGATTGACAGTTCCTTAACAACAAACTCCGCCTCTTTGTGTCCTCTGGATTTCCACACAGCTGGGATAGCAGGTCAATGTGAAGAGGGCACAGATTTCTTGTGTCTGTCATTAATGTTGATATGAGGGTGATGACTTTCCCTTTCAAGGTATTATCTGTAATTTCAGTCATTAGTTTTTATGAATGTCTTTAATGACCTTTACCCCTCCTTTGGATGGTCAAGATTTGAACAAATTTGAATCTTCTTTTAAAACATTAATTCATTTAACTTGAATGACCTGAAAAAAAATCCAGCTTTGATACTGTAAATGTATGTGAAATCAAATTTTTTGGTGGGTCAGTTTTTTTTTTAAGTTTAAAGAAAAACAACTGTTACAGTATTAATTATTGAATGTGTTAAACTTGGTTCCTCAAAACTAATATGAATATCATACTTTTACCTAAAACTCCCATTTTGTCTAGTTTCAGAGTTAGCCATTTTATTCTTTCAGCTGAGTTTTTCCTTACTCCAGCTGTTTCTGATTGGTTATTATCCTCCAATGGGATGCCTTGTTTCTCCTCCAGAAGATGCAAACAATTCTCACACATTTTCAAAGTTTGACAAAGAAATTTTTTGCCTATAAAAATTTAATTTCATAATTAAATTATGATACCAATCACTATGTATCAAAAATGACAACCAAATTTCCTTCACGACATTAAAGTATAGATTCATATTAATTCAAATTATCTGATTACATTGTAAACTTACTCTCTAATAATCTTTTGGGATTCATCTCAATGCACTGAAGCAGCACTGGTAAAACATCAGGCCTTAGATCCACTGAGTTTCTATCAATGATCCAAGACTCAAACCACTCCCTAGCCAGTACATTCTGACAAACCACAATGCACAATATCTCCATTCTCAATACAGAATCAGATTCCAAGCATTTTATGAACACACGTTTTGGCATAACTACTGAGGCTATGGGATAAAGGGTTAATACATTGAAACATGCAGTTTCTAGGTCAACAACATCCAAATGTTCAAGGAGGGTGAACAGAGTTTGGAATTTACTGAAGTTTAGGACTGGTATGGTGGCTTGTTCTTTGTCATTAATACTGTTAAGGAGGGTAAGGAGAACCTGGCCTTTTTCCATCAGTGACCTAGCTTTAACGCTTGTCAAATCTGATATAGAAAGTGAAAGTAGGACTGACAGTAATTTGTTGACATGTTCTTTGCTGATGAAAGTCTCTGTGGACTGTAGAAAACTGTTCAGATGTGTTGTCATCGTAGCACTTTTTGAATACTTTTTGTCAGTTAACAGAGTCAGACACTTGTTAAAATATCCATCCAGCTCTTTAGACAGTGTTTTCTGAGGGAGTGATTCCACCTTTTTCAAAATACTACACAAGCCTTGAGTAGTACAGACCACCATCTCCTCACAAGCACTTGTTGATCTGCCAAGAGTTATCTCCCCAGAGGGAAATAAAAAAAAAGAGAAAACACAGGAGTGCATTAAAATCTTCTGTAACATGTCAGATAAGTATTCTTCTCTGGACTTTTCTGGAATTTCTATGAATTTGATGTTTAGATTTGGTTCATTTTGTGATTCCTCTGATTCCATCACTTCAGATTCATTCACAGTTCCATCATTCCTCATAGCAGTCATTATAATATTTAACATCTCCCAGCAAAATTTAAGTAAATCAATGTCTTCCGTATTCTGAAAATAGAATTTTATTGTATTACTAATTGTAGAGAACCTGCATTGGGTTGAGCTATTATTACTACAGGTGACTCTCGATGGCTCGAACTCCGATCTCTCGAAGTTCTCGATCTCTCGAAGTGAACCTCCGGTCCCGTTTTTTTCCTCTATATAATTAAGCAAATTTACTCCTGATCTCTCGAACTTCTATCTCTCGAAGTTCTCTATCTCTCGAACCAAAACGTGGGTCCCGTTACACATAATTCATTGAATTTTACTCTCTATCTCTCGAAGTTTTGATTGCGTGTGTATACAAGCTAATCAAGCGTAAAATTGATGCAGTCTGAACTTACCTGGATAACAGTGAACGTCTGGGCTTGGCATTGAGGTGTTTTAATTGGGTGTTTACATAGATGACACTTCACCTGTGGGTAGTCGGTGTGTTGATATAATTAATTGATTATTATTGGTAAATTATTAACTGTTTTTTTAATTCACAACTTATTTTGATTTGAAAACGAGACCGTCACGACAAGTTTTTGGAAAATAATTTATACATGTTATAGTCGAATAAATAAGTTCCTATTGGCTATGAACTTTTATCAGAGCCTACATAATCCCACTATGGCAAATATTGCACAAGAAATTCCTTTCTCAAGGACTATACCGATTAAGAAAAATCTTGTGAACACTAGTGAACAGGGTGAAGGACCCGGTCAAGCCACGGAATAGTCAAACCGACAATTGCTATTCGGACTTCATGTAATCAGCAAATAAGAACAGTTAAGCATTGAAACTTTACAAATTTGTTTTATTTAGTCGAAATACGATCATTGTTGTTGATATCAAGTAAATATTATACCTTTGAAATACGATAGAAAACGTGCAATGATTTTATTTACAGATACTTCCGGTATCTATAAAAGTAGAACTTCTATGATCGGAACTGAAAATTCCGGATTTTATTTACTATTTACTTTCTATCTCTCGAACCCTTCGATCTCTCGAACTTTTCTTGCGGTCCCTTGAACTTCGAGAGATCGAGAGTCACCTGTATTTTAATTCAACATTTTATAAAATTACAAATGTACCTTTTCTTTTTATCAATAAATATAGGGCTTCCCAATTATACATAATGACATGAACTACATGTAATTCTGTTACATACAGTTGAACTTGGATATCTCTTGTAATATTGATATCTTGAATACCATGATGTGAATTGGAGATCCCAACGACATATTCTTTAAGTATATAACCCTTGATATCTCACATACTTGGATATGTCAAAGTTTTTTCTCAGTTAAATTGAGTTCAAGATAACCAGGTTTGAATGTATAGTACTTATCAGAAAATTTTCAGATTAACTGACCTGTGTTTTTAGTAAAACTCCACAATACAGAAGAACCTGACTGACAACTGTATCCAATTCAGTCAGACTGACAGATTTTAGTTCATTCCTGATTGTCTCTCTTGTCTTGTCGACAGCATCTTTACAGAACATCACCATCATCAACTCTTGGGAAACAGGTTTTGCTGTGAAATACAGACCCTCCATATTTATCTTCACTTTCACAGACTTCTTTTTCAATTTTTTCTGAAATAAAACAAAATTTCAAAGTAAATATGTTTGTTTCTCTTCACAAGTACCATGTGATTTCCAATTATGACCTTGACCTGATTTAATACTGGGATCTGTGGTCACAGGTCAAAATCAATGTGGAATCTCATCAGAGAGCATTGAATATGTAAGATCACAACAATTTGACAGGTGTATAAATATTGCTCTATCTCTCTATCTCAATATATGAGATGATTTTTTTCTCAGTAACTAAAAAAATTATTATTTTTAAAAACATTTCGAGAAGAGATATCAAAGTGGAGGTTACTTGCAGTAATACACTGTACCTTTTCAGGTTTGAGTAAAGATTCCATGTATTTTAGTACATCTGCACTTATTGTTTCCCCATGGAGTTCCATGACTAGTTTAGTTATTGTCACTGGTTCAACTTGAGAATGAAGAATGTCAATAAGTACGCCTGACAGATACTGGCTGAATTCTGACCAAACAAGAAAAAAAATACTTTACTTTAATCTATTTCCTTGATGTAACTTGAAACAATACAGATACATGTAGTTAATTTCGGTATTCAAATAACATCGAAAAATGAAAGGTTAATAATTGGTATTTTAAATAAAATACAGAAATTTATAGAAATTAAAACATAGAAATTAAGGTAGGACAAAAAGTACTGGAGGAAAAAAGAGTAATATTACTATATTGATAAAAATGAATGATACCTGAAAGAAAAATAATAAGTTTTGGCAAATTTGCGTTATATTTTGTGAAAAAATCAGAGAATCCTATATATTGGTCATTTGAGAGCTTACATTTTGGAATGTGTTTATGCTATCTAAGTGCAATAAACAAGCATGTAACAGTCTGTTATACAAGAGGCCCATGGGCCACATCGCTCACCTGAGTAACTTGGGTGATGCAGATCTTTTTAAAAGATTTGTTCTATATATATTTCTATATAAAACTTGGATTCCCCATTGTGGCCCCGCCCTACGCCCGAGGGTCATGATTTTAACAATTTAATATCTACACTACTCAAGGATGCTTCCACATAAGTTTCAGCTTTCCTGGCCTAGTGGTTCTTGAAAGGAAGATTTTAAAAGATTTGTTCAATAAATCTCTATGTAAAACTTGGATTCCCTATTGTGGCCCCGCCCTACCCCTGGGGGTCATCATTTTAACAATTTAATATTTACACTACCAAAGGATGCTCCCACATAAGTTTCAGCTTTCCTGGCCCAAACGTTCTTGAGAAGAAGATTTTCAAAGATTTATTCTATATATTTCTATGTAAAACTTGGATTCCCTATTGTGGCCCCGCCCTAACCTCGGGGGTCATAATTTTAACAATTTAATATCTACACTACCCAAGGATGCTTCCACATAAGTTTCAGCTTTCCTGACCCAGTGGTTCTTGAGAAGAAGATTTGTAAAGATTTGTTCTATATATTTCTATGTAAAACTTGGATTCCCTATTGTGGCCCCGCCCTACCCCCGGGGGTCATGATTTTTACAATCTAATATCTACACTACCCAAGGATGCTTCCACTTAAGTTTCAGCTTTCCTGGCCAAGTGGTTCTTGAGAAGAAGATTTTTAAAAGATTTGTTCTGTATATTTCTATGTAAAATTTGGATTCCCTATTGTGGCCCCGCCCTACCCCCGGGGGTCATGATTTTTACAATTTAATATCTACACTACCCAAGGATGCTTCCACATAAGTTTCAGCTTTCCTGGCCCAGTGGTTCCTGAGAAGAAGATTTTTAAAGATTTGTTCTATATATTTCTATGTAAAACTTGGATTCCCTATTGTGGCCCCGCCCTACACCTGGGGGTCATGATTTTTACAATTTAATATCTACACTACCCAAGGATGCTTCCACATAAGTTTCAGCTTTCCTGGCCAAGTGGTTCTTGAGAAGAAGATTTTTAAATATTTGTTCTGTATATTTCTATGTAAAACTTGGATTCCCTATTGTGGCCCCGCCCTACCCCCGGGGGTCATGATTTTTACAATTTAATATTTACACTACCCAAGGATGCTTCCACATAAGTTTCAGCTTTCCTGGCCCAGTGGTTCTTGAGAAGAAGATTTTTAAAGATTTGTTCTATATATTTCTATGTAAAACTTGGATTCCCTATTGTGGCCCCGCCCTACCCCCGGGGGTCATGATTTTAACAATTTAATATCTACACTACCCCAGGATGCTCCCACATAAGTTTCAGCTTTTCTGGCCCAGTGGTTCTTGAGAAGAAGATTTTTTAATGACCCCACCCTATTTTCGTATTTTCTTGATTATCTCCCCTTGGAAGGGGTCTTGGCCCTTGATTTTAACAATTTAAATTCCCCTTCACCTAAGGATGCTTTGTACCAAGTTAGGTTAAAATTGGCCCAGTGGTTCTTGAGAAGAAGTTGAAAATGTGAAAAGTTTACAGACGGACGGACGGACGGACAGACGGACGGACGGACGGACGGACGGACGACGGACGCCGGGTGATCAGAAAAGCTCACTTGAGCTTTCAGCTCAGGTGAGCTAAAAATGCAGTGCAACTTTTGTTCCATAAATAGTAGAGGGGTGATATTTAGACACATATATAAAGAGTCTCTATTCTTTATGTTCTACAAAGGTCAAGGTCATATCAAGAGGTAAAAGGTCAAATATTGTGACGTCATCTACTGATTCTTTGAGTTGTTTGCCATTGAATTTTTTTAAAATCACCAAAATATCTGAAACCACTGGTTCAATTTTCTTTATTTTTACACATTTTATTCTAGGACATATTTGAATCATTCTGTTAATTTTTTGTAAAAAATGAATAATACATTTTCTCCTAAGAAAACTTAAACTGTCGGATATTTACATGTGAATTTTCAATTTCTGACACAATATATGTTCTTTTTTACTTAATATTTTACCCAAATTTTCCAGTATCAATGTGACTTACTGATTTAAAGTAACAAAAACATTATCTTTATTGAAAGTATTACACAAATTTGCAATAGATCAATAGAAAATTCTAAAATAAGGCTCATTTTCAAGTCGAATGTCTGATTCTACAAACTTCTTACAGGGGTCTGAGAGGCTATATTTCAGACTATGTGGGCAAAAAATGTGCGGTTGAATTTCTTTCATATCATATATAAAGAGAGATTCTGTATCCAAGAACAAAATATCAAAGTTTCAGAAAAATTGAAGTTGAGGAAAAATTTGACCTATCTATTTGGTCCTACCTTAATATACATGTAAATTAAATAAACAAAATTAAGCTCTTTATGTGGAGAAAAAAAAAAAGCCAGATGTGGGTAGGTCAGGAGGGATGTGTGTGATATACACATTTGAACAGTCCCACACCCACCCTATTATCCCCTTTACCTGATGTCTCCGGACCTTCTTTCTCAGTTTCCATGGTTTTCTTGTTGATTTCCAAGGCAACAATAATCAATGGTGTAAATGGAAGTCTAGAATTGTAATCATGGTAAATCAAAATCATATTTTAAATAAATAACAAATAATTATTTGATTTGGAACAACGACATGACTACTCATTGTGCTTAAAACTGAAAAGAAGAAAGGGGGTATACTGTACCTTAAACTAGTTTCTGAGGTAGTTTCCACCTCAACAGTTATGTTGTCAAAATCTCCTTCATCCATTTCTAGAACAGCTTCAAAGGAATAAAAATTCTTAAACTTTTTTGTGATCTTTTACAAAAAAAATTTCAACAAAATTGAAAAAGATCAAAAAATGTTTGGTACATAAAGAAAGGTCTTGTCAGGAGAAATGGAAAGGTAAAGATATGAAAGCCTTAGCACCAATCATTCCAAGTTATGACAGACATATAGACAGATGGATACATACAAAGCTACAGTATCTGCCTCTGAACCTCTGATTATGTTTTGTTGTCTTTAACATAACTAGCTAAATAATCATGAAAACATACCTTTCAATGCATTGTCAAAACTTGTGGAATTTCTCTTTTCCATGGCAACATTGTCTGTTTCCAAGGAAATGACCTTTGATATGTGAATACAAAGTCTGTCCACATATGACATGGAGTTGCTAATGTAGGTAGTGAACATTCCAGCCAAAGACTTCAGTATGACCTGTTTATGAGGAAACATGGTGAAGTGCTTGATCCAGAGTTCCAACTCCCTGATATGATGTTCAAACAATCCAGTACCATGTAGAAGCTGAAAACAGTACACATTACATGTAATTCATTTAAGAAAGCACTACAAAGGAATGCCTTTTAACCCAGATGCATTAGAGGAACAATATTTTTAATTACCTGGACTAATAAGTGTTCCACTTTGTTCAGCATTTTAGAGTCCGATATTTTGGACAACATATCTAAGAGCAGGTAAATCAAAGAATGGCCATCTGGACTCTGAAAATACAGTTAAATATTTTAAACTTTGGATTTCTTTGATAATTCAAAAAAATTCCAATATCATAGCTAGAACTCTCACCAACTATGCATTAATTTTAAAAACTGCTGACAGAGAAACATTTTTTAAAAATATTCTATTGGCCAATAATTACCAGGGAAAATGAAACAATATGAACTTTTTCTGTAATGATTACACACCTGTTGAGTCCAAGGCAGCTTACGAGCATCCGTACCAGCCAGGAGCTTCAACAAATACAGCTGGGGTAACAGCGCCCTCTGTTGGTCATGTGACCTCTCTTCAATCTCCATGGCAGCATCCCCACTCTTCCCAGGGATTTCAAGAGGAGATAACTCCTCTGAGGTTTTCCTGACACCCTCCAACAACATACTTATGTCCCCTGTATTATCCACTAGGACAGATGGGGAGAACTCTTGCAGAAGACACAGAGCTTTCTCTATCTCCACCATGTGATCTGCTCTCAGAATTTCTGGAATACCTACATGAACACATTTAGTAACATTTTGCTGAATTCTGTCATTTTAATTTTTCAGAGCATGTTTGAACCTCAGGAGAAGTGACCCTATTTAAAAGGGAGAGTAAAAGTTGAAAAATCAAACTTTCTGCTCTTACCTTCCTCTTTTGTAAGATGTTTCTCATCCGTCTTATCTTCACTGTTAACCTCTGACCCCTTCACAGGAGTGGTTTTCTGCTCTGATGACTTTTTAGGAAACAACAGATCCCTCCAACAACTCATAATCAATTTGCAATCTGGAAATATCTATGAAAAGAAGAGATAATTCTTCAGATTTTCTGTTCAAACTTTGCATGCAAAGCCATGCATTATATGCAAGTAACAGTTTCATTTCCCAGGTAGAGTACCTGAGTCAAGTTCAGGGTTACCGTTTGAATCCTGGTCTCATCTGTCACTACTATTTTTTTCCCAAATACTGATCAATCACATTGAAATAAATAACACCTGTGATAATTCAACAAAATTTCACATTGAAATCTCTACTTCTTTGTGATTTAATTCCAACTACTTGGATATAAATACAAATTCAGGCTGATTTTTGATACAATACACTATTTTTACCTTTAGAATATTTTCTTTGAAGAGTTCTACAATTTCCTGCCTCTCTGATTGGTTATAAACAGAAGATGAAGGCTTCACACTCCCCTCATTAAGGCAGTGCAGAAAGTTCACAGACTTCTGGAGTAGGACTCCAAGAAACTTCATCCCAAAATACTGAACGCTGGAATGGGGGTGCTAGAAATTCAAACAAAATATTCAGTATACATCCAATGTGCTGAACATACAAGGTTCATGTATATTCTTAAATTTTGCCTCAAACAAATTATATGCATATTATGTCTACATGAAACTACATCTTGCATACCTGACTTTTGACATTCAATTGATTAATATTTTTTCTACCAAAAACAAAAATTATTTTTCACTAAATCATACATTGTATGAGGCAGGTATGTTTCATTTTGTTTTCTGTTGTAATCCTGCTGTTTTGTTTGCTCTTTGTTTTGATTTTACTTCAAATTTGTCAACTTATTACTCAGTAAAATCCAAATAATCAACCTTAACAGACTGCAGAACGGGTGTTAGAATTGCAGGTATGGGTATCAAGTGAACCATGACCATCTCCACAAATTTTACAGGTGAGTGATGCTGACTAGACTTCAGGACAACTGGGCTGTCTGGCTGATGTTTGTAGATCTACAATATTTCAACTTCCACAGTCAAGAGGGCACATTAAATCCTTTAATAAAAAATGTGCCTTAAATTTCAAAATCGAAGTCTTAAAATAAGCATTACTTTTTGAAATCCATTAAGTCATATTTCCACAGAAAGTTGTATTCAATCTGAGGGTTGGATTGCCCTTTCTTGATATAAATGTCTCTTAAATACATTTATGATGGGACAAATTACCACAGAAAATTTGTCGGCATGTACATAGCATAAATTAATCTTTCACAGAAAAAAGTATATGTCTACTATAACAGTACATGTTATAAACACAAAAGGATATTTCTTGAAATTTCAAAAGATTTATTTTCTATACTAACCTCACAGAGAAAGTTCATGGTAGAGCACCATCTAGTGGTGGGTCTTGGTGGTATGTTCTTGATCAAACAGGGGAGGTAATGCTGGATCTGATCTGGGCATGTTTTAAGAATCTGACAAATTAGTTCTTCTACTTCCCTTCCCTCAACAGTCTTAGACACAGATGTCAGGAAATTGGTCAATAACTGATTCTGGTTTCTAAAAAAAAAATTACGAATAAAAAAATAATTCCTTTCCAAGTCAGAAGGATCAATGATTTAATATCAAAGTTTTAAGATGAAATTGTGATTCAATAGTTAACAGTGAAATTAGAGGGGAAAAGAGAGAAGATATTTGTGGTGTTTTTACATATGGAATTTTTTCCTCAAAATTTAAAGATACTTATGAACATTATACATACTTTCCACTTGTCCCTAGTGTTTTGTCATAAAAGTTAATGCCATTTTTGTGAGAACAACAAATCTCCATTAGTAGTTTATGTGCCAATTTTACTACCATCTCTTTGTCTTCACTGGAATGTGTTCCAAGCTGAAAATTTTTGTTAGCATATTACATTAACTACAAGTGCAGCTCGTTTCATTGTCTTCAATTCAATAAATTTTGATATTGACTTCCCAAAACAAAGATTTTATGCAATATTGAGATTCTGCATACCTCCTCTATGTCATCTGTGATAGTTCCCTCCCCTTGTTCTGGGTGACCTGTCCATTTATACAGCTGACTGATCTGACCCAGGGAGTAGTCATTAAACAGCCGCAACTTCTGAGTTTTTGTAATGGCTTCATTCTCAACAACCTGTTGTGGTAATAGGCACATTAAATTCATGGAGTTTTTGCTGCCTTTTTAACAAAATTTTAGTCATCAGCAAATAAAAAGGTTTACAATATACTGTAAATCACTTTTTATTCCAGAGAACTTTATTTTCGCGTAATTACGCGAGACAGTGTGTTCGCGAAAATTTAATTCTCTCGTATTATTGTATTCCTTAAGAATATATAGAGCAATAACCACAATTCGCGAAAATTTTGTCTCACTAATCAAGAGTCAATGACTATCTCGCAAAAATAAGGTGTCGCAAAAATTTGGTGATCTACAGTAAGCTAGAATTCTTTAACTACCTTTTCCAATAGTGTATTTAAGATCAGTTTAATGTTTGCAGCTTTATCCTTTGTCAGACCAGTAGACAAGGAGTTCAGAAATCCTGAAAAAGTAAATAATCAGTTATTACAAACAATATAAATAAACAAGAAAATCAAATTTAATCTTCAATAAATACAAATGCAGACTTAATATATCTATACAGACAGAGACTAACATATTTTTTCTGCCAATTTAAGAATACAGTCAAACTTGTCTTAGCGGCCACCCGAAATCAACGGCCACTCGCGATCAGCGGCCACTTTCAGTTCCCCCCGATGATTTTTCCTATATATTTTAACTGGAATAAACGGCCACCTGTGTAACGCGGCCAGCGGCCACTCAAATCCTCTCCCAACAGCCTTATTGACACTATAATAGGCGGCCATTTCGTCACTTGCTGTGATTCTGTCATGTCTTTTAAACTCATTCGCTTGGGTGATTATATCCCGATAGCCAATTTAACCCAGTTATGAATGCAATTAAAACAAATTACTACTGGATACACTGACCTCTGTTTGTGTTTATGAAAAAACCTGTTAGATAGATTTTTTATTATTTTCAAGTTTGCTGATTGAAAAATAAAAAGAATTTAAATACAATAGATAGTTTCCTCTACCTAAAGAAATTCACACCTTTTAGATTTTGATTTCCAGTAGAAGCCCTAATTACTACACTTGTGAAAACAAAGCGCTTCATGTGGCATGATTATCTCGTGTATTTCACTATCAACAGACGATTGATAGGGATTAGTCACACTCTACTGCATATGACACCTGTGTTATGGAATGATTTTTAACTGCGTCAATACATCTCTCTGGTCAAGTGGTTAATTTTATTTGTGTGTCTGTGTATGTTACATAGAAATTCTGACAGCTTTATAAACAATAACATTTACAAGACTTTGAAAAACTTCAGCAAGTACGTTAATTGCCGATGAATAAATTGGTGGGGGGGGGGGGCTTACACTGCTGACCATTTTTGAACATATGCAAGTGAAATTTTTATTGACATATTCTTACTTAAATTTCTATGTTTTATTTTATTTACCATAAAATTGTATTTTTGAGTAATTTTTTCCTTTATAAAAAGGATAATAGCCGGGCACTGTGTGTATTTCTTGTTTAACTAATATGTAGAAACAGTGACATGCACAAAACCTTTTAAAAAATTCTAATTCTTTAATAGTTTTTTTTTTAAATGAGCTTAAATTATTATACATACACTAAAAAGCCTTTCTTAAATTGACCTGTTTTATTATTTGATTAATCAATCTAACTGTAGTGCTTAATGTTGTTTATTCATTGACCGAATGTCTTTTTCGAGTCCAAACTGGAATAAGAGGCCACCTGTCTTAAGTGGCCAGTTTCCAGACTTCCCAAAGGTGGCCTCTTAAAACAAGTTTGACTGTAGTTATTCATAAATGTACTAATGATAATATTTGAAGATAAAAAAAAGTTGGGGGGACCCATAGACTTTAGGTATATAGAGGGTGATAGTCCATTGCGTTGAGCTTACAGTGGTGTGAATAAACAAGAGATTTGAGAACACTGACCTTTTATGTTTATAAGCTGCTGTATGACAGAGTCACTCCCCACCAGAAGAAAAGCCATAATAAAGTGAATCAGGCACGTCCTTACGTCCTGTGGATCCTGTTAGAAATATATCAGTCACAAAACTCTACTAGATAAAATGTAACTAAAAAATAAGAAAATAACCAAAAACAGAAATATCTGTAAACTTTCAAAGCTGACAACAGTGTTTTTTCTCGAGAACCAGCTACCAGCCAAATTAACTGCTTCAGTTGAAAAGATTCTGATTCCACATACAAGTAATTGTTGTAATGTCCATTTTGCTTATAATCCTTAACCTCTTAGCAAGTTACAAATGATCTCTGGCATTTTACTTTGAAAAAAGGCAAAAATTATACGTGCATCCTTTTCTATAATAATCTGCCAAAGAGGAATTGTTTTAAGTTCTCGTCGTTAAAATTACATGATTCTATTTAAATTTATCAACCAATGATATTTATTTGTCTAACCTTGAAGTCCCTCCTATTGAACAAAGACTGGATATGTTTGTGGGAGGTGTCTAGCTGTGAGAGTAGAGACTTGGCCCCGCTTTCTCCCAGCATTACCAGCGCCCCCAGCATCCTCAGGGCAGTCTTCACAGCTGACGCCCTCACCTGAGGTCCCAACATAAAGTAAACGGACGGCATGCCCACCGACAAGATCTTCTGAAGAATGACTTTACCAACAGGAGCATGCTTAGTTAGCCTCAAGTCATCTAAAAGGCGCAGCACTATGGCTTCTAATGCACCAAAAATGCTATGCAGCTAAAAAAAATTAAATTATATTTACACATATAAAAAGATGCTATGTAACTTTTGAAAAAGGGGGAAAACTAATAAAGGATGATGTGACATAACTGCTATCTGGGGCCCCTTTTTCCACGACAAATTGTATTTAATATACAACGATGTTGGTAGTTTTCAAACATGAGTGAATAAATACGACGCCTTTTGAATAGTTTCAATAGTCCAGACACATTTTAATTACAAGGAATACTGCATTATCTTTGATTTTTTTTAGACCTTATAACAGCTAAATCGGCCAGATTTGTGTGAATATTTTCTTTAATGGCAAGAGAATGGGCGGGTCTTAGTACAATAGAGGGATATGCATGTACGAGAAGACCTTATATGGCTATTGTTATTATTTCGCACATAGTCATTATCCAATCCGATGACATAATAACAAAACATGCTGGTTTACTACGTTTACATTTTATCGCACACACGTGGTTTAGGTCAATTTACTTGTTATCCTTTTCTACATTTCAAACTTTTATAATGGTTAGCCGAGGCTGTTTATACTTAATGATACGCATGGTTTTTCAGCATTTACGGTTTTTAGGACAAGAAATGCACATGAAACTTGTATTCATCAATACTCGGGAATACGTATAGACCTAGCGAATTGCTCACCAAACATGCTAAAAGACTTTAAACTAATGTATATCATGTATACTCTATCAATTGTTTTTAACTATATAAATTTTACTGTGGTTTCGGAAATGGTACATATGTAGATCCGTGTCTAATCTGTGACTCAAATCCATTAAAAAATATCAGAAAGCAGTAAAATTCGCCAAAGCATGTTTCAATAGTTTTTTTGTGGTACTCACTCGTAAAGGATTTCATTTAGCTGATTGGTCAGTTAGAAAGTATCGCCTGTGCCTTGATTAGCATATGAATTCATTCTCACGCCAGAAAATCTAGTTCCGTTGACCTGTTTATAATGGGAAAGGCCAACTATATTTTACAAATTTTTTAAAAATAGCATGTGAGTGCAGTTAGGTACAATTTTCTCCCTGCACAAATAGGTAGATTTCAATAAAATACAGTGACCAGCCAAAGGAGAAAATTGTACCTACCTGCGCTCGTGTATTTTAAGGGCTTAAAAGAGTGGGGCGGGGTTAAAATGCAATGGGAATTGGATGTAAACATGATACCCCTACCCAGATAAAAGATCTATATCTTTCAAATCACGTTTCTATTTTTGTTAAAAATAGTATTCTGTAAAGGTACAGATATCAGTGATTAGTTACATACAAAAATTTGAGTAAAATTTAGACATAAATTTTTTGTCAATATACGGGGGGCCGCAAGTCACCTCATCCTTATACAAACAATTACAGAAGACACATCAATTCCTTACAAATTATGAAATAATATTTCATTGTACTTAATAGTAGGTATATAATTTTACAGTGTATCCTTTTGTGTTTAGTGCATTGACTCTTTTTACCATGAATTGAAATAATGTATAATTTAGGACATAACTGATACAAATCTGCAATATTTTTCTCTGAAGTTGGTAACTTTAGATAGAAATTAAGGTTTAGTGTCAGACCTCTTTCTCCTTTCTTTTGCCCCCGTCTAGCAGCGTCAGTATCTCGGCACACTCTGGTGACGACCTACAGTACCCGGTCACAATGTCATACTCACTGCTGTCTATGCCATGTTCCTCTGCCTGCTTAACAAACTTATCCAAAGCTAAAATTAATTTAAACACAATCAATTAGTGATCTGAGGATAGCTGCAGATCTGTAGCTCACTGCCTGGAAAAAATTAGTAGATGTACACATGTATGGAGAGCTATGTATGTGTGTGCCACCCATTGAAAAAAATGTATACACAAAACCGTGCACTGTTTCTAAAATTTTAATACATTTTAGAAATAATTTGAATAAAAGATTTATAAATGTAGCAGGAGAGGAGAAAAATGCAACGGACCAGACTAGGATTTGAACCCTGGGCTCCCTGAATCTTCATGCAGTCAAGTGTTCAACCGACTGAGCTGTCTGGCCATTGGCGAGTAGAACTGACAAATGTATGGAAAACATAGATGTGTGTGTGTAAGGGGGGGGGGGTTGATTATCAAGAATTTGTAAAGATTGTAGTTAAATTAAAATACAATTTTTTTTTACAGGGAGTGAACCATTTAGAATGAATTAACCTGTTTGTCCCCTTTATTCTGCTCTATGGTCAAATGTATGGTCTCAGATTACAACACTGACTGATGAATCTTTCAAATTGTGGCAGTCAGCAAATCGCTGGTACCTCAGTTAGTAAAGCATCCCAGTCTGGTCCGCTGCATTTTTTTTTCTCCTCTCCTGTCACATTTGGTGCCCTGCTTTGCCCTGGAACTGACGTTGAGAGGCCTGCCAGGGATGAGCCTTGGTTTGGGTCTTTGAGGGACCAAAGATCTTTAAGGAGGGAGGAATGTCATTATGTGGCGGTCAGCTGTTTTCGATCGCCGATGGTCAGCTACATATAGCTCAGTCAGTAGAGTGCCTGACTGGAGATTCAGGTTTGAATCTTGGTCTTGTCCACTGCATTTTTCTCCTCTCCGGTTACATAATACTTATCATGAACTTATAATAATATTAATTAACATAAATATGAATCCATACACATAAATTAACATTTATAAATATTTTATTAGTTTTTTTTTATGAAAATATAACAAATCTTGGATTAAACAAACTACAGTTTTTGTGTGATAAGCTTTGGGAACTTTTTTCCCCTGTCCATCTTCATTTTTTATTAATTCACCATGAAATTTTACAAAATGTGCCCTGTTCATCAATGTTCATGAGCCTGTTGAGTGTTGTGTACATACCTAAAAATGTAAGATTTGGATCCCTAAGCTCAAATTTAAATCTGATTTCTGTATATTTCTCATCTTCTTGTTTTTTCTTTTTAATGGGAGAGTTACTTCCTTTTTTATCTGCTTTCTGTTTTCTTTTTTTCCCCGATGAAATTTTCTCTTTCATATTTCAATCCACCATGTGCACATGTGTTTACGTCTGGAATTCGTTCGAAACTCTTCTTGTTTTATCTTTAATGTCAATAGAATGGGTTTCTCCAATCATAAACCTAGAGAAGTTCCGAAAAAGACCACACCAAATGATGACGTAATACACGCGAAAATAGGATATACACAATCACAAGAGGCGAAGTCATCTTCTATTTACATTTCACAATAGATTTTTACATGCTTAGTTCCTGATTGCTGGGGAAAAAGATCAGCCATAGCTTCAAAATGTCTATGGACAGTATCCTTTTCTCAAAACAATTCATCTTGTAGGTTGGTAAGTTAAGAAAACGCTATTTAAAATATTTTTGCTGATACTATCTTCCTGAAACAGCTTTATTTTTACATTCAGTTTGTGGCATAATGTCTTATCCCATGTTTATACCTTTATTCCGTGGATATCTCTCTTTGGATATTTTTTATCTCACAGTTATGAGGTCACAATAGATTTTGCGTGAAAATGATTAAGAAAAAGTGAAAACATTGATACTTGACTCAAGATAGAGTTATGTATAAAACAAATTGGTATAAAAAGAATCTCCCATAATTTGTGGTTAAATATGATTATTATCCAGCTTATTTTGTTTTTATTTTGTCATCAAAGCTCAGGTATAAAGAAAAACAATGCACAAATTGTTGAATAAGAATCATATCCAACCACAAATCATGGGAGCTAGATCCTATACATTTATTGAATCTATATTTATGGTTAGAGAGTTATCCCATCAGCGTTCATTAGGCCTATATTGATGATTAAAAAATTTGCATGGAATTGATCTATTTCCACTATGGAAGAGTTATAATAAATTATACTTCTTAACAGTCTAGTTGAACCCTCAAACAGGGGTAAACAGAAGTAGGAAAACCGTACCCTCCAAGGGGGTTACGCCCATGCGCAGACACTAAAAAAAAGTGCCTTTTTCACAGAAAAACGTGTGGTCCACAAAATATGCTCGTGCAAAGTGATGTATTATTACGTAGCTCTGTATGTACTCAAATTTGATAGCTTAAAAATGTTTAAAGAAATTGTATTGCGAAAACGTATATGTTTATTGCAAAAATTGAGACTTTTTCTCTCCCAAAGTTAGCGTATTCTGTGCCTTGACCTCCATGCTTGATTCAACTAGATTTTTTATTCATAATTTAATAAAACGGATGAATAAACAAACAATGGTTTGTTTAAAGTTGAACTTCATATAATTCCCTTCCACGGTATTAGAAATCTTGTGTAATTAACATGTTATTTATTATTTTTCGACACTTTCTTGTGTGCAAGTCTGAATTTCCTCTGTCCTGTAAACAAACTTTTGTGCTTCAGAAATGAGGAAAATAAAAAAGAAAACATGTAATAATTTTTTTTAATTGAAAACAAAGGTGTAGAGAATTCATTTTTGTACGTTTGTGATTTAAAAAAAAAAAATTATTTTTTAAATAAGAAGAGTTATCTTTCTTGAATTCCACTTCCGCTTTCGCGCGTTGCATTAAGGGAAGGAAAACCCTTGTTTGAGGGTATACCCCCATTTGAGGGTTCGACTAGACCGCTTAAGGCACTCTTTTGTGAAAAAGTCTAAAAATGTACAAATCACGCAGGATTTCTGGGACAAACTTTACATAAACATGTTAACAAAATATTGAATGTCAATGAACAGATCCTATAACAATAATAGGGCTGGGCAATAATATCGATATTTCAATATATTGCAATACAATGACAAAAAATATCGTATCGCAATACAATTTAGTAATATCGATATATTGGCAATATGCTTAGACTAAGGAATTTTGTCATTAAATATAAAAATGGACTTATGAAAGTTTGTTATTAAACCAAACAGTAAGACATAAGTTGTTTTGTGGGAGCATTTCAGAGGATAACTTAATGAAATCAACAAGATTTTTTTTCCGTGTTGGTTACTTATCATGTTATGTACATTCTGCATGTAAATTAAAGTAAATATAGTAAGAAAATGCCATTTTTATGACATTGAAAATATTGCAATACATATCGCAATACAGCTTAAAATATCGCAATATATCGCAATATGAAATCTCGGCCCAATACCCAGCCCTAAACAATAATTTATATTTTAATATTTCTTTGCCCTCTCCCAACTCAGAGTAAAATAACTGAACCAGTAGGGGGTAGTGGTAAAAAAAATTTCAGAAAATTTTTACATACTTGTTGACAAGATTCTGGTGGGAAAGGTAGGGGTGAAATAAGAAGACTGTTTCCTGGAAACTGAAAAAAATTTGAGTCTGCCCATTCTTAGCCTGTCTGGAGAGGGTAAACAAACTTTTTTTATTTAAATGGCCTTATTGTTCCATTCTGTTTTGTCTTTTTCTATTCTGACTCATGTATATTTTTGTATCCAGTGTGTGTTTACTTTCCTTAATTGTGACAAAGAACATTTATTTAACCTCAAGTTTGCAGCCAAGGATCTTGAAAGAAATGCCAAAAAATCTGAAAAGTCAGAAAAAGAGGAGAAAAACAAATGTAAAAAGGTATGGTAATAAGTATAGAAGATATATGTCATCAGAAAATTCAGATACACATGTATAAATAAATAATTACTGTAAGTGCTCAAAGTTAAATGCTTTCATTTCTTGTAGAAGTATTGTACTACATGTAGTATTTAGTACATGTATAATTTCTGAATCATTTTTCAAGACATGTACAATTTAAATAAATCTTTGAAAATAGTTGTCTGAAACACGTTTTCCAGGTTTCTATTCTGTTTTATTAAAGGAGTTTATGTACCTTTCAAATTTACCGAACTTTTTAGTAAGAGAAATTAATAAGAGAATTTTTTTTATTTTTAAAAGGTATGAAATATTTTTTATTTACGAAAAATTTTGGTAAAATTGATAGGAACAGGAACTTCTGTGGTTTCATGCTGTGAGCAATCCTATACATATTCTTGATAACATTAATATAAGTCTGATTTGTCTGATTCAATGTTTTGACCAATAACAGGCTATGCAAAAAGGTAATGCAGAGGGAGCAAAGATTCACGCAGAAAATGCCATCAGGCAGAAAAACCAGGCCTTAAATTATCGTAAAATGAGTGCCAGGATAGACGCAGTGGCAGCCAGAGTACAGACCGCTGTCACCACTAAACAGGTATAAAATGTTAACAGTTAATAAGCATCGTAAAACAGGTTATATAACAATTCAGTGATTTCATGATAGTCAATGAAATATAATTCCTTTGAATATTAGTATATTATGCATGTTTAAATGATACACACAACACAACTTGTACAGCTAAATTGAAGAGACGGTAGAAACTAGATATTGGTGTTGGTGAGCATAAATTTTGATTTTTGAATTTTAATCACACACTTTATAAGGAAAATACATGTGGATTGTTAATATGGAGAAATAAACCCTGTGCTCATGGAAATAACTAAAAAAAATTGCCAAAAACTCAATTGTAAAACATTGAAGGAAATATCTGCAAGATTTACAAGCAACTTCAGATCTCCATGGTCTAAGATAATTGTTAGAGACTCTATAGGACTTTATATCTGTGAATGGTAAAAGGAACCTGTTTCAATTTAAAACTGAGAAATTAATTCAGGCAAAAATTTGGAAATTAAAAAAAAAATGAATTTTCAGTGCTATTGTGGAATTTGTAAATTTTTTTTCAGTCCAAAATTTTCTTCATTTTTTATCTTCATCATGTTCATATTCTGTTGGAAAATTGTACTGACTCTTCGCAGAAAAATTCCACTTTAACGTTTAGTAGGTTGTTTCTCCTGTCTTTTGTTTCTATTATACCTTCTTAAAATTCACTGATGGTGAATATTGTTCTATCATATATGTTAGGTAATGGTATTAGTGTGCAAATATCATAGTGGCCCCCCCCTTTTTTAGATTGAAAAATGAGACAAAAAGCTAATTTTATCAATTCATTGCATCACTGTCTTGAATCACATGGATAATGAATATTTGAAAACGTTTACATGTGTACAAAACAAAGTATCAAAACAGCAAGCTTTTAGTACATTTTGAATATTCATCAAGATTGTATGATTGATTACATGTCATCCTCCTCTTCTTTATTTTTAGCCTTCCAATAATTGATAACTTTAATCATTTCAAAATCAATGCTGTTTTTTGCGACTGCATCAAGCCCATAGGAAATACTCATGTCCTTTGTCACATGATGTCGAACAACCTTCACCTTTCCATCACGACAACCAATCCACAGGATGTTATTGAACATTGCTAAGCAATAGGGTTTTAAAAGTCCATTTTCCCTGGTCAGAAGATACCGAATAAATTGTCCATCTGCTGTGATAACGTGAACACAGTCATTGGTGTAATCACTCACAAGAATGTTGTAACTGACATCACAACATACCATGGAGGGGTCAAAGGTTTTGGTAGAGTCAAATCCAGTGTAGTGGAACTTGAGAGCGCCCTCTTTTCTAAGAACCACAACTCTTCCAGTGTTACTGGTTAGAACATCCACAACACAGATGTCGGCATTCCCATTCTGGACTGCTCTGTATGGACATGCAAAGAGCCTGGTTTGCCCGTCCAATTCAAATTCATACTCCTTCAACACTCTGCCTGCCTGGGTCATGTGCCAGACTAGATTTTTGCCATTTTCAAACTTTGAAGTGAATTCTTCCGAGTCGAGAGTAACCAGAAGGCATCCATCAGACATCAAGCTAATTCCTAGAGGAGTAAGAGGCTTTGTGTCTTTAACCAATGAAATCACTCCAGTTGAAGACAGCTTTTTAATACTTTGGGCCATGTAATCATTGAAATACTGATCTCCACTTTCCACGAGAGTGCTGTCACCAAATGATGCACTGTGTTTCTGCTTCCGTTTTCGCTCTCCTTTTAGCGTAACCAAGTTACTGAAATCTTCAGACACTCCATGAATCCAGGCGATTTCTTCTGATTCCAGAGATATATTAGCGATAGTTTTTTCACCAATGCTGAACTCTGAGATGGGCGTAGCATTCATATCAGAAACGTTCTGGGCCTTTCCAAGCATTTTTTCCATGCTATGAATTTCAACATTGCCTTTGACAAATAGAGAAAGTTCACCAAAACGAGAGATTTTTTCATGCGTCATTGACTTCATCTCGGTCATCATAGTCTTTAATTCACCATGTCCCTCCAAAAACTGCAGGTTGGATGACCGATTTTGCTCTAAACTAGCTGTCTTCTGTCTGATCTTATCTGCATGTGTGCGGAATCGAGTCTCCAGTTTAGTCAGCTTAGAGTTATTCTTTGTCAGTTCATCCTCTGACTGTTGTACCTGTTTTTCGATCAATTTAGAGAGAACATTTAACATCTCGCTCTCTTGTTGGTGGATCCTGTTGATTTTCTCGGTGGTCTTCTTAATGTTTTCTTGTTTCAGTTGTTGAATATACTTAATGTTTTCACCAATCTGACAAAGATGCCCTTCTTGAATGCCTTTTTGTGTTCTGGTGACGTTTTTCCAGTTGACGGAGAATCTGGTGATGGCCCCCCATTCATGAAACGAATGTCTGTCTTTACTGCAGATTTCACATATAGAAAAATCACAAGTCCAGCAATATAAACTCAGAGCTTTGGACGGGTGAGCCTTGCATTCAGGCAACATTTTTTCTTTCCTCACGTAATCCATTTTGCACTCCCAGTCAAAGTACAATGAATGTTTTCCTTAGACTGCAGCTTTTTTGAGTGTTTTGAAAAATATCTTGGTAAAAGGAAGTAGAATGGCAGAGAAGTTCCTCATTGTGGGTCCATATACTTTCGACACATTTTTTTCATCCAAATTAAAATATTGTTGTTTTGATTGATCTGGACATATGATAGTGAATCAGGAAAAGAAAACAATGTAGTTCCAACAACATGTCTGTCCATCAGTATTCAGGTTTTAACAGGGAAGCTATTGGTTCCTGTTAAAGTCAGGAAATGAAATTAAGAGGATTGGCTGTTTTAAATTCATGCATGTGTACTTCCTCCTGGAAATGAGTCATTTTCATATTTGTTGATAGTGCAAAGAGTATTCTGTAAAAACACTCAAATCAATTGCCATTTATTTGCTTAAAGTATTGATATTAGAAGTACCTCTTGTTTTGAAGTGAAAACTGAAATTGCTGATATAAAAATAGTTGCCAATTTTTTCGGTGACAAAATATTTACGGTAATACATGTAATAAAGCACCATTGTACCTTGAAATGAAAGGAATAGGTTGACACTAAATGAAAATGAACATTAATTTTTCATTATTAAGTGATTATCATAGCTGTAAAAGATTTATTTATAAGGAAAAATAGGAAATCAGTAAAATTATGATGAATTTGATATGCATTATCAAAGTTTCTTTTACTATTGCTCAAGGATAGTTTTAATAAATCTGTGCTTTAAAAGTTTGTGTCTTAAGTTTTTTATTTCTTTTTACAATTTAGGTAACTGGATCTATGGCTGGTGTAGTCAAGTCCATGGAGTCAGCCATGAAATCTATGAATCTTGAAAAGGTAATGCACATCACGAAAGAACAATAAATATAAGTGTACAAAGCTTCAACTTCTTGACTCACTGTGCAATAGTGTAAATAGAGGTCTGGCTTTAGTAGGCTTGTGTTGGTTAGTACTATAGCAACATTTAATATCCCTGATTTTTCTCACAATAATCATTGTCATGATAAATTCCTATGAAATCATAGTTACTAGCATAATTCTTTTATTGAGTTGATATGGTATTTTATACTTACTCGTTATTGATGATTGACAGGTGTCCAATCTTATGGACAAGTTTGAGCAGCAGTTTGAGAACCTTGACGTACAGACCCAGGTGATGGACGCCACCATGAGCAATGCCTCCACGCTATCAGCTCCCCAGGGGGAGGTGGACAATCTAATGCAGCAAGTAGCCGACGAGGCAGGGTAAGATCATATTATTGAAATAGAACGACCTTATTGTTACACTGTCAGGGGGGGCTGGGGGGGGGGGCAAGTAGCTGACGAAGCAGGATAAGAGCATTTTATTGATTGCAATAGAATGGTCTTTTCAAAATTGGTCAAGGATTATGGTATGGTACAGTAGTTTAGTTAACTTGTGTGTCACAATAAATTTCTTAAAAGCATTAGTCAAATGTTAAATTATGTGATTTTATTGATTAAGAGCTAATTAAAATAAAAAACGTTAATGATGCAAAGGACATACCGGTAAATGTGATAAATATGACGAATAAAGTTAAATCATTTCCCACAGGAAATATTGTACTGTATTCTAAAATTTTTAAGTACATATTAACTGTAATTTTATACATGTATTATGTAAAGTGGGGTCCAAGGTTTTCTCTACTTTTTACAAAATTATACCAGAAATGACCCTTAATACCATGTATATATATATGAAGTTATTAATGATTTTTTTTGTTAAATTTCAGGTTGGAATTAAATCTCGATCTACCATCAGCACAAGCCACTTCCTTATCAAGCACGGCTCAGGCCTCCACAGAACAAGTAGGTTCAAACAGTCGGGGTTTTGAGTTGTGCTATTATGTATATCAATCAAAAGCTTTCACTTTCATTATTGACGTATGTCTGTCTCAATCATCAAAATGCATTGCCAAGTCATAATGCAATTCACAAAGCAGGGAAATAACTTCACATACTTTGGATCTACCAGTATAAAATTGATATTTGTTCTCAACAATTGTGTATTGAATTATTCCCCGATATTTGTGGCTGTATTTACAAAATAAACTTTAATATGTAGGTACAATGGTTAAAGGAGCAGTTTTGTACTTGAAACTCATAAGAGTAAATACAATGCAAAAGTCATTAAAGTATAATATTACATTAAAAGTACAGTATATAAATAATTTTCTTTCCTTTTTCCTAGGATGAGCTTTCACAGAGACTGGCAAAACTACGACAGTTGTAGAACAAGATTGTTGACAAGAGCCGTGAGAGAGAGCTGTAAACTGTGATTACAAAGGCTTCAAATTAGACATACATGTACAACATAAGCATTCGTTCTAAATACTGGCTCATCATAGCCTATTTCAATTTTTCTTCATAAGAAACCGTCAAAAGAGCACTGTTTGTAAAACCAAAATAAATTCCTCCAAATAAGGAAGAACTTGGTTTGTGAGATTGAGAATAGTTATAAGTGTTTTAATTTATTCAGTTAAAAACTTCTTCCTAGTACATGTTTAGAGTGATAATAAGACACTTTGTATGTGCATACAGTAAAACTTGGTTATAACAAAGTCACTGGGACCTATGAAATACTTAGCTTTATCCATACGCGGTAATTCGTTATATCTGAATAAAGAATTCTTCAAATTTATAATAGCTGGGGATCAAAGATAACTTTGCCATATCCGTAAATTTGCAATATCCGTGTTCTTACTAAACGATCGAGTTTTACTGAAATTATATATTTGCCCAACTAGCTATTCATTCAATGAATGTCAAACAAATTTTTTACTGCAAGATACAGTAAATGACTAGGTAAAATTAATGTGTATCAAACAAAGTTTCCATAACTTTTTCTTTGTTTTTTTTTTTCATGAACGGCAATTAATTGTTTTTTTTTATTTCTGTATATATATTGAATTATGTTTTGTGTAGAACAATTTACTGTTGTAGTATTTTTTGAATTTTATGTTTGTTTGAAATGTAGACTTATTCATCCTGGTATATTTAAAGAGATGTACATTATTAATGATATTGTCCAAATTCTGAATAAAAAAAAATCTATAGGGAAAACATAGTTTGTTCTTTTTGTCAATATGCATATTTAAAAATATTTCTCAAAATTGCAGTGTACAGTGTAATGTATACTTTTACTTGGAAATGTGCACAATACTTAAAAAAATAAAGAGAATGTGTAATACATTGGGCAGAGATTATATATTATTCAGTCGTAACTGAAGGTGTTGCATTGTCGGGATGGTGGGGGCTGAATATTAAAGTTCACAAAAAAGAAAAAAAAATCTGAAAATCTACAGGAAAAGTAGCTGTAAAAGACCGTAATATCTGTAAAATAGATTTTCAACAGAAAATAAGGGGTGTTTTAAAAGTCCTAAAAATGAAGAAAGTAAAACAACAAACTGGAACCATAAGTTTTCTAAAGTTTTGGGCGCTATGACTGAGGTTTGTAGAAATTTAAAATTTTGGACTGAAATTTTTAATTTTTACCAATCCCGCTGAGATTACAATATGTAAAGACCTTCAAAAATTAATGAGAGCAAAATGAGTTCTTTAAAAAATTACGTCTTTATAAATAAAGTGTGTGTAAATAGTGGCCTGGTGTTAAGTTTTCGTTTCTTTTTAACCACTGCTTAGAGGCATCTTTTCTAAAAATGTGGGTGGCCCTTAAAAGGGCCGTGGGGTTTTATTTAGTGAACAGCTGCTCACTTAGCCTTTGCTGCTTTCTTTGCCTTTCTTGGGGAGCTGGGCCTTTTCTTTGCCTTGGATTTGGTCTTCTTGGGCGACTTCCGTGCTTTGGGCTTCTTGGCTGCCTTCGCTTTCTTTGGTGACTTTGCCTTTCTTGCTTTCTTTACTTTCTTAGCCGCTGCCTTCTTCTTTGCCTTGGGTTTCTTTGCCTTTGGTTTCTTAGCTTTCTTGGTCTTCTTAGCTGCCTTCTTCTTTGGTTTTTTGGCTGCCTTCTTCTTCTTTGGTGCGGCTACTTTCCCAACCCGGAAACGTCCAGTGGCGCCATGGGCACTAGAACCCTTGGGTCTTACAAGAGCTCCACTTTTCAGTCCCTTAGCAAATGCTGCTTTCATTGCCGACGGTAATTGTGTAGCGCTTACCCCTTTGAAATTGGCGAGGATGTATTTTTTGATGGCTTGGGCTGAAGATCCCTTACGATCCTTCATAGCTGTAATGGCAGCGCACACCATGTTCAGGGTCGTCGGATGGGCGGCTTTCTTCGCTGCAGCTCTAGGTTTGGACGACTTCTTCTTTGGCGACTTCTTGGCCTTCTTAGCTTTCTTTGGCGATCCACTTCGGCTTCGGCTTCTGGACTTGCTTCTGCTTTTACTGCGGCTACGGCTCCGGCTTTTTCGTTTCGCCATTTTTGGGGTAGCCGGGGCTGGTGATTTCTTGGCTACGGCCGGTGATTTCTTTGCTACAACCTTCTTCGGTGCTGCCTTCTTGGGAGAAGTCTTCTTTGGAGATCGACTTCGGCTGCGGCTCCTACTCTTAGACCGTGACTTGGAACGGGAACGAGATCGCGCCTTAACCATTTTCAACGAACTGTCTGGAACTCCTGCAAAAACAAGAATGACGCTGGCAGCTGATGACGCGGTATTTATTGACACAGCGCGGACGTTAAAGAAAGCTGCTGGTTCCCGGATGCCGAGAAGTCATGGCCGTCGAGAAAATTCTCAAATTTGTGCTTTCGATGATACATTTCCGCGATGTTTTCTTTAAAATTCCGTCTCTTTACGCCCCTTTTGGATTGCAGTCTGATGGATATTATTGACATTTATCATCTTAAGATAAGAATGCCAAATTTTCTTCAAAGGTGACAAGAAAAACGTAAATTTTATCTGAAGATTTCGAATAGAAAGTAGCATAGTAGTTGAATTCAAGCAATATTACACATTATTTTTGCAATCTAACCTATTTTTAATGCTTTAAAAATATAGAATTACTTCTTATCTTTATAATATATCGGTTGTTTTAGTATGATAAACTTCGTTTCAATATTTTTTCACAAAGAATAACAATCGATCATCGACTGTCCTCGAAAACAATCACGTTACTATAGAATCATAACAAACTCCAATTTCTGGCAAATAAATAATTATAGAAATGATTTTTTTTCTATTACAAAGAGGATGGATTTATTATGGAAAAATATTCATCATTTATACGGTGGGGGAAACTTAAAATACAAGAAAAGCACATTTTGTGATTTAGATCTAGATCTACCGTCATGTGGCCAGCCCATGGCCTAGCTCTAGGTTCAGATTTTAATTTTTGCCGTGAAACTATTTATTCATTTTATTGAATCTATAGGTAGATCTATGAAACAAATTTAAATTCAAACATAATTTATTGAACTTTAAGGCAAAACTTTCAAAACGAGTCCGTGTTTTGCGCATATGTGATCATAGGCAGTAGGCCGATAGGCTAAGGAAAAAAATAAATCGATGAAATTTATCTACCACAATAAAAAGATTTTGTTTTTTGTTTTCATACTAACATTTTTATACAAGATAAATATAGTTCCCTACTAATAGGGTTCGAGCGTGCACTTTGTGACCTTTTAGGGGGCCTAAATGATTCCATCAATGGAAGGGACAAAATAAACGAACTTTTTATTATTTTAAAATTCATTTTTTCACTATTTGTATTCTTTTGAAGATTATCTGATCAAACGTACCACCTACCACCCTTCTCACACATTTTAAATTTTGCGAAAATCTGAAATGGTCATGAATCACCCCCTGCCTGGTTCTTATAAATAGCTGTACTTAAACATTGCGTTCGCTGTTCGCTTTTCTCTTGGCATCTTTTATTTTGCTTTTTTTCCAGTATAGATTGTTTTTTCAACGTTCTTTTATTTTGTTCTTTTATTTTTGTATATTACATGTATTTCTTATTTATTTTCAGAGAAAATTCAAATTAGGGCCTACACATTCTTGTGCTCTTAAATCAAAACAAAGTTTTCTTAATGCATATTTTTATTTATCAATTATTAAAGTAAATTCAGTTGTGTGCCAAAAGTGAAGATACTTTTATATTTTTCTCTACAATAATAGGCCTATTTCATTGAAAAGAAAATTTCGTAAAATCACTGGCAATTGGTCAATTTTTGTCCAATTTAATTATTCAATTTTCCCAGACATTCTGCGAACTTTATATTTGATGCTTTTAAAACTCGTCAGAACTTCACAAAAAGAACATTCTAATATCATTTATCTTCATTATGTGCCTTTGTATATAAATTGTTCAAATATTAACAGTGACATATAGGTCCTTTGGCTTTGGGCCGGATGTAAGAAATTAAGCTTATTGTTGTAAAATATGTTGTAATTTCTGTAACAATACACATGTCACTATAATAAATAATTTACTTACTTACGTATTCATTTTGAAGTGTTTTAACCAGAAAATGAGTACTTATCTTTCTTTAAAAGATCATTTCATATTCAATTTTTAGTCAAAGATATTTCATCACTAAACATCAGTTCTAAAATTCAAGATCAATGTTGACTATATGATTCAATGTGAGTATGTGACTTATAAATTCATATCACACTTAAATTACAATATTTTAAAATTAATGATGCTGATTAGATAAAAACTATATTGTTTTTATCAACTCTTGGATTATCAAAAAAATTGTGATAAAATCTGTTAAGAAATGTTGTCATACCAGTGATTTTACAAAATGTTGTTTTCAATGAAATATAATTATAGAAAAAAAAAAAAGAATTATCTTCACTTTTGGCACACATCTGTATGTCATGATCAGAAATACACAAAGGGGTCAGTTTCCCAGATTAATTTTTTTTTTATTTTTTTGGAGAAGAAATTGTATACAAAATCTAGTTTTTTAATTCATAAAGTGAATGAATGTTCAATCACTACGTAATAAATTCATTAAACTTTGTGAACTAATAGATCTCATACTACAATATATTTAAATAGTTTTCAGTCAAAATATTAAGTATATCATCACAAGCAGGAAAATTTTTCTGTAAACAAATTTTGAATTAGAACATTTTCTCGTCAAGATAATCTCACAAGTACTTGGTTTTGGTTTATAAATATATATGTATTTAGTACGAATATTTATTCAAAAAAAGTATTGGTTAACTTTGTTTTTATTGACATAATGCATATGATATCTATTCTATATTTTTAAAAAACAAAACCTAAGTAAACTGTATCTGTGATTGTTCCTCACTGTCATTTTGTGTTTCTTTTATATTCCTAACATTAAGCAGAAGGTCTATCCCCATCACAGTCCCTTAGTTTTACATGAAGCTGAGAGATTTGTCTGGCCTTGAGGTCGAAAGTATTAAAAATAATGTTAAATTTAAATAATACAAAGACAAATTTTCTTGCAACACCCGTAAACATTTGTAATTATACCT